ATTAACTTTGAGATGATGAAGTTATTAGCACTGTAAATGTGAAACAAAATACACAGCTACAGAAACATGAATAGATGCGTGAAGCAATAAACAATGATTTAGAATAATGTTAAACTACAAGTTGGTTAGAGATACATGAGGAGATTGATACAGAACGGTCTCTCAACACTGTTAAGTTTTGTATTGTATTTAAAAACATGACCTTCAAGACGCTTAATGAATCCTTAAACAGAACTACTGTACTCAAAACAGATCCTTCTCTTCTATCTTGAGTGTCACAGGGAGACAGCTGACCAATGGAGGAGCTGAGGAGACAGACTCATTCCTGACATCCTCATGTACTGTCTCTCTATCAACCAGACATGTGTCCTGTGACAACAGCTACGCAGAGCCCATACAATTCATTAAGCTAGTCCTTACCCCTTCCCCCCAAAAAATACTGAATAGGTCTTAATAACAATACACATCTGTAGGTACTGTCAAAAAAAGAATAAATGTGCTTAATACTATTAAAAACTGTTCACAGTGGCCATGTTGCTAATGTAAAGAGATCAAGTATTTTTCTATTTCTAAAAGTCTGAATCAAAATTAATGACTCTAGCGCTACAAGCACGGTTATTCCTTAATCTACTTACAGTATCTATTCCATTAGCCTACTTACTGTTTATATAGTATGTCTATTTTCAGATTTTGTCTCCATATTTTATCAGCGTTTATACAGTCTGTACATATGCATTACATGAAGCTAGTTCTCAAAATATGGTGAAGTCATTTTTTCTCTCACTTTTTTTCTCAGACAAAATACTTTCTTTCCCCAAGGGCCTTCACAGTTTTTACTGCTTCCATCTTAAAGGTCTGCGTCTCACATTTTTTTCCCTTACACCAGGTCTTCACTGAACACTGCACATGGCATTATTTAATGTCCTGAACATCTGTTTGTGCTACTTAAGCTAAAATATCCGCCTCCTCTTGCCATTCTGTTTCTAAACCTGAGCTACAAGCTTTGAACATCATCCTATGTCTTTAATGCTCCGATGAGTATTAGACATTTTGATTAATAACCTAAAAAGAATTTCTGGTTATGCAGAAAGTTAATACAGCCCAGAGGAGGTGTTTAGCTATTTTAATTTCATTGTACATTGAAAACTAGATGCTTTTCTTCATAATTTTAAAAGTTTAATGCATATTGCAGATTTAATATTATTTGGCTCTAATAATAGTCTTTTTCACTTCAGGAGAATTTCTGGGCAATATGGTTTTCTTTCAAGTAGCTCCTTGAGAAGCTCTAAGAAATAAGTGGGACCTTTTAAAGGGTGCCTGGAAAAAATATAGTTTTTGACTCTTCTATTTTGCTCTTAGCTGTATTAATAGGAATGTCTCTCATTGTGTCAAGGCAAATAAATGCACTGCTATGTACAGTGTCCAGGAAACATCAGTATTCACACCCTTTAAAACATGGGAAAGATTTTTCAACATTTAAATGTAAAAATGTGTGAAGCATAAAACAGTGTATCTTTGGTCATTAGCAAAACTAAGGTCTTCATTTTGTTTTTTTATTATTATTATTATTTTATTATTGATATACTTACCAGTACATGATGATTTCAATCATTAAATCATACTTTCTCCTGTAATGTTTGTTGCCCGAGCAAGAGCAAGAGCAAGTGTTTGGATCTTAGTTATCGTTAGGAGAACTACATGGCAGGTAAAGTTAGAGCCTATAATAGTGTCTGTTCATCTTCTCTAAACTTGAATGGCCTTGTCCAGTCAGTGATAGGATTGCCCTTCTGCACTCAAAGCTCTCTGAAGTAAAACACCTGTGTAACCCATTCAAGTGTGAATGCTTGTGCCTTAAGGAAGGAAGTGATCATCTGGTCTCATGGTATGTTATACTTAGTCACTTCAGAAAACAGTTAATCTTTGGTAACATGACCTGACATTTCTCTTGCTTCAGAAAAATTCCAAACAGCTTCTAAGTGAATTCCTGATACAGTCTTGTAATTTTGCAGTGTGAGAAGAAACCAATAAATGAATACATTGTTTTTTCTGCAATTTTCAGCTTGCTGTGAGAATTGCTGGGTATTAAATGCACTACAGACTAGACTACTTTGTTAAAGCACACTGTAGAGTGTTCTTAAACCAATTAAACAGGAGGCTGCTTTTAATTTCCTAGCACTATTCGGGGCAATTCTAGTTCTGAAATGAAACTGTTTCTTTTGTGAATTAAATGCTAGAAATACCAATACAAAAAGATTAAAATATTGAAGGACAAAAAACAGCATCACCCTTGAAACATACTCTTTTATAAATCTGTATTAAATCTGCTCCTGTAATTCTGTTCTTCTGTTTCTCTAGTACAGCCTTTTCATTTCCTATAAATATCACTGCAAGGGCCAAACAGACTGGTTACTTCATTGAGGTGACAAAGTCTGCTGGCAGTCTGCCTGCTCCAGTACTCAAGGTACACTCCACTGGTCAAACTTCTCTCACCCGTCTGTCTATGGGACAGGAAATCAAAAGACAGCTCCTCGTGTATACCTTCAGCTGTTCCTTGCGCAATAGGATGGCTGCAGGACACATAGCTGTTTTTCTCACTGCTTTAATGTTTTACCTGTTTGATAAATCACATAATTTAGAAACATTTAGTCAACTGGATTCAGACTGGATCATAAATACTGAATAATTTAGTCTGAGCTATACAGAAACATGGAAAACCTATACCTCTGTTGTCACAAGCATGGCCCAGGTAAAGGTGTGCTTTCAAAAAGATGTTGATTCTGGTGACAAAGGTATCAGTAAGTCAGTTTCTCTTCTTTTAACACTGAAGAGGATTTTTCTTTGTTGCCAGATCAAGGAAGGCCCTCTGGAGTTCAAATACACCAGAGTTTTCATTTCTTGATTAGGATTTCAGAGTTTTGCATAGAATCTTCATCTCTAGCAAGAGTTTGTTTGCCAAATGCAAGAAGAGAAGTTCAGTGTGGGATGTTTTTTTTCTTTGTCTGATGGAAAGCTTAATAAAATACAGGTACACTTCAAGCCCTATTCTGATCCCCCTCTCCTATAGGTATATTAGAATTAATAGACCACAGAAAGCTTCCTGTCCCAGAAAACCTCTTTCTGAATTGCATTTATTGGAAAGCATGCATCATTTGATGGGGTGCATGTTACACTGTTGATCACTAACAACAGTATTAACTTGAAAGCCATTTTAATGTAATAGCTTAGTAGTGTTTGGCATTACTGGGACAAGGACAGGAAATTCTCTGATCATTCTTTTAAGATTCTGAAAGGCCATGTCCTTCTCATTTCTTCTACAAGCTTTACGATTAGGATGAAATGGTAAACTGTGGTTCTGCAAGCCTGCAGGTAACTGGAACTTTATTGGGAGGTTTTACTGCTGGCTTTATCCTTGTTTGAGACGTTGGAGTGGATTATTTGGGTAATAGAAAAGGAGAAATGTCTTCTGAAGGCGAGTTTTGCCTTCAGGCTTCAGAAATAAACTGAGGCTGAATAGTTGCAATTCAGAAGTAAAGAAGGTACTGTTTGCAATGAAACAAACACTAGAGGGGCCTCTTTCTGTATCTTATCATAGTACAGGGACAGACAGCTTCATGAAATTTCACTAGAGTTTTGGTGCCTTGTAAGTAAGTTGCTAATTATTATCCTGTGAAGGAACATGTTGATTAAGGGTTGGAGTTGGCCATCCCTGCTGTAAAAGACCTACTGTATTTCAATGTTGAAATGTGAGGAATCGAGAGGGTCTAACTAGTCAGTATCTAATTAGATACTGACTTGTCTCCTTGTCTCCAGAGTGAGACACTGTATAAAACTGAGGTCCAATTTTTTGGGGCTCCAAAGCATCTGTAATCTCTGGAATAATAGGACATGATTATAAGACATAGTATATTTGGCTGAGGACAGTGAGTGTTATGCACTATTCTCTGTTGTGTCTGCTTACATTCAGCATCTAAGTACATTTCAATCAGATACATGGTGGTTAGTCTAGTCCTACCTGAAACTCAAAGAATTGCCTCCTGTCACAGAAACTGTGAGATGTTATTGGTTTGCAGTCCGTTGTGATTTTAGCTGGCCTGCATATATTGTGCAGTTTAAGAATTAGGTGCAGTCTTTTCTGGTGTTCATAATCTCAACAAATACAGTAGGCTAGTTGACTGCTTTGACTGCAATTAATCTTTTGCATTTTATATGTAAAGAGTGCTGATACACAGTGCTGTATACTGTATGTAATATCAGGTGCATGCCTGGGATGGCTTATGTTTCCTGTGCTATATGGGGTTTGTGTTTAATTCTGCAGAATGGTTTTGATGGTTTTTAATATTTCCACATTCTCAATATATCATATCTTAATTTTATTCGCTTGTGAACCATTATTAGAGAACGAGATCTTGTTAACATGCAGCTTCTTTCAAACGAGGAAGTGAGGACGTTTTTGCTGAGGCTCATGACATTACCATAATGTTGTGGTATGATGTTCGAGGCTGCAAACTTAGAAGACGAATATAAAGATAAAGCCATTGAAGATTTTTAGATAAAATACCATGAATTGAATGTCATTGCTGCATTTATGTCTTGTGCAGTGGCTGGGTGATTCTGTGTACAGCCTATCTTTTAAGGTAATATATAAAGAATGGAAGGAAAACATTCTGTAGAATTAGTGCCAGTAAAAAGATAGCATCAATCAGTGCACACTATGTACAGAAAGATACAGGCCATGCATTAGCAAGTACTGTTTTAGATACATTGTCATAACACTACAATATAGTACTTTTTATTAACTAGTAATAATCTGCTTTAAGTGATTTAGCTTTCATACCTAATTATTTTCACAAGGAAAGCACAGATGTGTGAAATGCACAGGCATTTGTAAAGGTCACGGATTAGGGATTTTACTCATTCCTATATGCAGCTGAGGATATAATCTTCTCTGTCCTGACAAGCATCTACAATGGACAATTGTGTCTCCATCTTTTCCATTTCAGATGTTGACGAATGTGCCACAGGGAACGGCGGCTGTGCGGATCAGTGCTGCAACACCATCGGCAGCTTCTACTGCAAGTGCCCCTCGGGCCAGCAGCTGGGGGAGGATGGGAAATCTTGCCAGGGTAAGAAAATAGGAATTAGCACTCAAAAAGCAGAGGAATTCTGTGCAAAGGGTAAAAAATATATATTTTTTCACTTTCCGGGGAAAGTGACACCCTGCCCCCTCCATCTCTTTTGCACAACTGTTGAAACAGCAGTGGAGATTTTTTTTTTGACACTCAAAATAAAAGCTATCATCTTTCCCAGACTCAGAAAACATGTCCAAACTATTGTTTCACCCAGAGGTCAGATGGGAATCTTTTTAGCTGTCTGAAAGCAGCAGTTAGACTTCAGACATATTGTTTTACTCTCAGGTAACTTAAGTAACACATTTCTAGTGAGGAGAAACAGTCTTTGTGTTTTAATCTTGCAGTAATACTGGCTATCGTGGAAAACCAAATATCCCTCAGGGTCAGTTAAACTTCACAGATGGGGTGTGTTTCCTGAGCTGTCTGTGGCCTTTCAAAGAACCGACCTCTCACCATTTCAGCTGTAGAGACTCACAGCTTCTTTGAGTCTATAGGGTCAATATTGTGTAACTGGATAATAACCATGAATCTATTTTCATGTCATTTGTGTTCTAGATGAACATATAACCAATTTTAAACAAGGAGGATTCAATACATTGTCCATTTTGTCTAAAGCTGACTTATTGTTAAATTTAATCTCTTATTATATCTACAGTATATGTTTTCTTTCCACAATTAGATCTTTAGCTCACAGGTTAAATACTCAACAAACCAACAAGCAAGAAGTAAAACAAAGGTTTGAGATGATTTTGAGACTCACAGATTGTTGAAAGAAGACAATGCATTTTAACAATTATTGTAGTTAGCTGATGTTTTGAAAGTATTTATCTAAAGATTTAATAAAACTCAAAAGGTCTGAAATGTCTAAAATGCAACATTACTAGTGCAAAGAGGACATACAGTATGAGGCTGCCATCATTTTCCTCACAGAGGGACGTATTTGCAGTTTTATATAGTGCATGAATTTGTACTAAGGTGGAATATAGTGTATACTTGAAAATATAGGATAAATAGCTTTCCGATATGATCATTTATTTCTCTAGTTAAAACATATTTTTGCCAGATTTTAGCACAAAGACACAAAGTCTCTCACCTGACATCCATCAGATTAGAATTTGAGTTTATGAATCTTTAGTTTTTTTGTGCTTTTTGAGTGTGATTTAGACTGTGCAAGTCCCTTTTCCTGTTTTGGGAATTGCTGATGATGTTCCAAAGAAACAAAGTACTGATCTGGGGCTCAGGATTTGTTCTCTAAAGCCATTTGGTGCTGAGACAGCAGCATTTCATTAAATGTGAAGAAAACAGGCACACTTTGAGTTGTTTACCATATGTGAGGAACTTCAGAATATTTTTGTCTCTGAAACATATTTTTACCCTCCAGTGATTAAGAAAGGGGATTCACATTCTCCTTGGTTTGTTCTTTGTTGCTTAAGTAAAGCTTTTATCAAAGCTGTTGAGTCATTTTTTAATGACCAACAGAGAGCATTATAAAATAGTTGCTGGGGCTGAAGGACTTAAAGATGTATAGGTGGACACTGACCTACTTATGGTCTACACAACTATGGCACTCAGTGTTCTTTTGCAAGCCAAAGGGGACCAATTTGTGACAAGTTTTGTTGTAAGTGATGGTGATTTACCTGTGATAGGTGCCCCTTGACCTTACATGAACAACCAACCAGTAACTATCCCATCTTAAGTAGTTTCTCTGTGAACCTGAATGAAACATCGAGATAAATTTACTTCCTTTTATCGAAAGAGAATAGAATTCCACTACTGAAAGGAAACGCTTTGGAGAGACCTTACAAAATTAATTTAATAGCTATTTAGTTATCTATTTACATGCATTAAAAATTCCCCAATTTCTTCTTAATTTGCTATGAAACTTCATACTGCAAAAAAGTAATATTCAGCTCAAGTGATGGCAGTAATAAATGCTTGCTTGTAAATGGATACTACAGCATATTTATATTTGATTTTTTCAGCACTTTCATCTGTAAATTCTACTTATGCAGGAAGGATGTGCCCACTGTGTAAATACATCTTGAGTGATAATTCTGTAATGTATACAGAAATTATAAATGCTGCATTATACAGTACATGCATTATACAGTGTGTTAAATTTAAATGAGATGATATTATTATAAGTGATTCCAGTATTAGTATAAGTGATTGTAGTTCAGGTGGGTAGCTGCGTCAGCATGCGTAGGCTGCAAAGGAACAAGTAATAGGTTTATTCCATGCTGAAAAAAAGAAGAAAGAGAACACAACGTTTCGGCCGTGGAGCCTTCTTCAGGTGAGCCTTCCCACCTGAAGAAGGCTCCACGACCGAAACGTTGTGTTCTCTATCTTCTTTTTTTCAGCATGGAATAAACCTATTACTTGTTCCTTAGTATAAGTGATGCACTTTTCTTGGAAACTTATAGAACATTATAGATTCACCATTGCAAATAGAGCTGTCATTGTGTCAGGACACTGGAGAAAAACCACCTGCTTTTTCAGCTCGTGACTTTCCTTCCTGCTGTAGATGTGAATGAGTGTGCTGTTCTGAATGGAGGCTGCCAGCAGACCTGTGTGAACACTCAGGGATCTTTCCTCTGCGAATGTGAGGAAGGATTCCGCCTGCACGCGGATGGGCGCACCTGCATCAGTAAGTCAATACAGAAGTGACAAGAATACCCTTTGTGAATGAGATATTTGTAGGCAAGCTTGACAGTGGTAGTCTCCGGTGAGTAGCAGACTCCCAGTTTACCTGTTGAAATAAGAAAGGTTCACATTATGTAAACATTTAACCCCCATCAGAAAAACAGGCCACCCACCTTATAAAACAACAATAATAAAATCAAACTTTGATTATTTAATAAAGTGTGATGCTGGAACATCGAGAGAACTTGTGCAGTATCAGATGTAGATTTGATCTCATCATGTATCAGTTAATTTGGGTATATTATTGTTCCTCTATTTCAGTTGGTAAGCCTCTAAAAATGCCCTGAAACTTTGAGAGATTAAACTGTTCCGTGTCCGGGTCTGGTAGAAGTTTGTACAGGACAGTCTGGAGAGGTGGTGACTTGTGAAGAAGTGTTTCTAGTTCTTGGAAATACTAAAATAAATATAAGTGTCCAGAGGGTGCTGGGATGTTATCACAGGTACTAGGGACAAGAACTAGGAAGCCACATGCCCAGTACATGGTTTGTGTCAAACATGTGCTTATGTAATGGGGTGTAACTTTTATTCTGATATATAAAAATAAAATAATACAGTGAGCTTAATAGTAAGTACCTTGGCGCATGCAGTGCTTCTGGCTAATTGAAAGTGTTGAAAGCTGAAATGATCTCTGTTAATTGTCCTGCCTTATTATTTTAGCAAATAGAGTTTCCAAAATCATAGCTCATGCTGAGCTGTCCTACACATCAGCTATAAATGCCATGAGCCACCATGTCTGCTTGAAATATAAAGGAAACTTCCCCATGTCTAAAAGACTGGTGGGGGGGGATTCTGTTGGAGCTTAAAGAAGTGCAGGCCACTAATTTGGCAGTCTGTTTAGCTCATCACTCTATGTGAGTCGTATTTCTTTTTTACAGCTAAACAGTGCAATCAGGGCTTCAGTCAGCTGACTTTCCATATCAGCACTTCAGTAAATCAGCTTGGGTAACAAGCATGGAAAGGCCATCAGACCTGGAACTGGGGCAGTTTAAAAACTAAAAACATTTTATGAGCATCAGGTTTTCCAGAGTTTCCTTATCTTTCAGCTAAACTTTACATGACCAGTGAATGTAATCATTTTTAATGTTCAGCAACATTTGAGACTCCCTTCAGCCCATTTCAATACTGATTAACATGTTGGAGCCATGGTTTGAAAGTCTGTTGTCTCTTGGATTAATGTACTGACTTTGTCTTTGACTTTCTGAGGATAGCAAATGACAAAATAATATGTAATAAACACAACATATAATACATATAATGAACACATGTGGTTAAGGCACAGCAGATACAAGGTCATTAGCAGAGAGACACTAATTAAGTAAAGGTCATTGTGAAAAAAAAAGGTGTTGGGTCTAGATTTAAGTCTGCTCAGGGAAGGTGACTCTCCACAATTCTTGGGGATAGAATTCCAGGTCTTTGGGGCACAGCAAGAAAAGCCCTTGTCATAATCAAGGTTGGCAGACATCTAGAACATCAGAGTATGACGAATGAAGGTTGCAAGATGGGGAGCAGTCAGATACTGTAGGTACTGAGGTGCCAAGCCTTGTTAAACCTTATAGGAGAGCATAAAGTTAACTCACAACCTGGAAGCCAGTGGAAGGACTCCGAGACAGACAGGCAAAAATTGATAGCTTGAATTCAACCTGGTCAGAATTCTGTCTGCCGAATTCTGACTAGGAGTTTGTTCAGTGTGGATTGAAATACCCCAGGGAGTAGGTCATTGCACTTAATCAAGAGTGTTGAAGCCCGAGTTCTTAAGCAAAAATGTGCTCACCGTTGCTCCTATCTGTGCTCCAATATATTTAACATGCATTAGAGGGAAAACATCACAATTCCAACATTGTGCTGCTATGATTAGTCATTCGTCTCTATGAGGAGATACAGTACTTTAGGCATGTGAGAATCAGTCTTGCAACCCTCCTGGAAATAAAACTGTTGTTTTCTAGTGTACAGTTTGGTAATTCAGCTATAATCTTTTGACTAGTCAAAACATGAAATGCCATCACATGCTCTGTGATCACATGCGTGTAAAGTCCTACTAATTACATTGTGTTGAGGTTAAAGACTAACTTTCTGTCATGTGCATGTTAAAAAAGTTAAGAATTTTGCCACAGATCTGACTGACACTCAGAGGTAAGACAAAACGCTGTTAACAATGATGAAGAAACTTCTTGTCTAACCATGAAGATATTTTTCTCTTCTTAATCTTTGCCTAGCTGTGAACTCCTGTGCAGTAAAAAATGGTGGCTGTGAGCACAAGTGTGTGGAGCTGGGCGATGACCACTACAGGTGTGAGTGCCCTCCAAATTACCAGCTGAAGAGAGACGGGAAACACTGTGAATGTACGTACTGTATATCGAACACGACAAGTACCAAAACATTCCTGTAGTGCCTGAACGTTTTCCATACTTTCTCCATGTCAAGCATCTTAATTTGGTTCGTTTTTTTTAGTTTAACATCATTTAAAGTTCTTTTTTCAAACAGTATACATACATGTGGCAGCTGCCTCACAGCGGTAGGACCCTGGGTTCGATTTCTATGGTGCTATCTGTGTGGAGTGTGCATGTTCTCTCCATGTTCAAGAGGGTTTCCTTCCACAGTCCAAAAACATACTGGTGGGTGTTTCTGTCAGTGTGTGACCTGTGATGGACCGGAGTCCCATCCAAGGTGTATCCCACCTTTTGCTTGCTTCCCAGGATAACCTTCAGACCACTGTGGCCCTGAATTGTATAAGCAGTTATTGTAAGTGATGTGATGGTGTGATGGTATAAAGTGGACCACCAATATTTCAAGGACTTTCCCATTTGAAAAAATTCTTGGTCTGGACCGCTTAACAATCATTTAAGTTACTGGAACAGTAATATGCAGAAGTCTTTTCATGTTCCTTTACACAAGAATCAAGCTGGGGATGGAGAGTGGTTTAAAAGATTCTTGTGGTATTTTATGGGCATAATAGAATAAAAGCAAACAAATGTGGGCTCTTTGTTTTCAGTTCACAGGCATGGTCAGAAAAAAAAAGGCTTAGGGAAGTTGCTTCAGGCACTATTTTATACTCAGTCCTATTGTTTTCCTTAATCTGATTGGTAAAGGATGCCTATACTGTAAATGTAGCATAAAGCAGCAATAAAACAACAGAAAACATTAATTGCATATTAGGGTGTTGGAAAGTTCTAAGGAGTTTCAGTGTTGCATGATAGAGAAGAAATAGAGACATTAGACAGAAAGTGGGGGTTAGTCAAGGGCCTCCGGGTAATATATCCTGAAGAGATCATTCTTCCAGAAGATAGCAAGTGTCTCCACAGGTTTAAGCAATCTCCATCAGTTGTTTTACAGTGCCTTCAACAAATGTGACTTCCCTGGAGTCCTGCTTCATAGAGTGAGAGACAAAAACCAGCATTTTATGGCTGTGTCTGCATCTGTAGCCTGGAAACCTGAAATAGGCCAGCTTTCTCTCAGAATACGGGTGAAGCAGGTCAGCTGTCACATGACATATGGAAACTGAACAAAGAAAAAAATGCAGTGCCTTGCAAAAGTATTCACAACCTTAAAGTTTTATTATTTATGACCCCATACATTTGTAGATGTAATGGTATCATGTTTCATAAATAAGTGAATTCCTGAAAATGCTTGCAGGACCGTGTGCTTGGTAAACTGTCAGTCAGGAAATACTTATTTAAATTTCAAGGCATTTTTTTCTAAACTTTTGTGACACTAATTACATTTCAGGAGCTAAACACAACAGGGCAACGAAGCTGTCTGAGGAATAGTGTATTCAAATGCTATGTGGTGTATTTTGCTTGGATGATGAAATGGAAACCTGAGAGTAAGGAAGAGGCTGACAGAAACCCCCATCTTTGAGAGGAATGAGTCAGGGAGCCGCTGCAAGGATGATGATAGGGTGCAGGGAGGGGTGCGAGAAAGATGTGCAACGGGGTGTTTAAGAGGCAAGATATTTACTGTATACATAGGGCAGAGAGACCTTCTGAATGTCTGTTTAATTAAAAACTCCATTAATCAAGCAAAGTCTTACATACCATTCTTTACATCTGACTACTACTGTACATTATTTGAATATTGATATTGTCCTTCTGAAACCTGCAGTAAAGGACCCCTGCTCACAGAGAAATGGAGGCTGTGCACACATTTGTACGAGTGATGCTGGGCAGGTGCAATGCGACTGCAGGCCGGGGTACAGACTCTCTAGCGACAGGAAAGGCTGTGAAGGTAAGAGTCCAGAAAACCCAGGACAGCCAACTATTTCCTTTTTCTAGGTGATGATTTCTAGATATCCTTTCCAACTATATTTCTAGATGATGAAAGTGAAATCTTCTAAATGTGCATTTCTATCAGATATTCACTAAGATAGAAGTCACCAACTTAATCTGCATACTGTAGATGTGGCAGAAGTGTTTTAGGTACCACAAGGTCAAGGTAAATAAATCTCCATGGCCAGATGGCATCTTACCACTTGGTCTCAAGAAAACAAGAGATGTTATTCAGAAGCCATTGAAACAATCTTAGGACAGGGGTCATACCCAGGCACTAGAGAATAGCTGATGTGTTAGCCATCTATAGGAAGGTTGACATAAGTAATTATAGACCAATAAATCTTACAATTAAGGTTATGGAAATAATTATTAGACCTCAACTAGAATATCACCTGCAGTATGTGGAAATAATATCGTAGGGAATAGACAACATGGAATTAGAAAATGTAGGTCTTGCCTAACCAGCTTACTAGATTATTTTGAATAAGTAGCAATGATAATGAACCCACACAAAGCATAAGTACAGTTTGTACTGTATGTGTACGTACTGTACTGTATGTCTATTTAGATTTGCTCAAGGACTTTGTTGAAGTTCCCCATTCAGGGGCATTCAGGCATATAGAGTATATATATGTACATTTGGATTGAGCAGTGGTTAACAATAGAAAATGGAGTACAGATGACGGGTGAGTGTTCAAATTGGGGTGATGTAATTAGTGGAATACTACAGGGATATGTACTTGGACCGCTGTATTCCTGATTTATATCTGAGATCTAGATTTTGGTATAGTTAGAACTTTTTAAAATTTTAAAACAAATAATGTGTAATGCAGACAAGTGCAGGGTATGTGTGCACTTAAATATAAAAAAAATTCTAAATACAAAATAGGAATCAAGATTACAAGGTGACCTGATACAAGTATTTAAAGGCCATTCATAACACCAGCATGGTGGATTTCTGGGAAGTGCATTTAAAAATATGAATATATAGAACTGTGGGAGTGTGGAGCAAGCTACCCAGCCATGTGGATGAAGCTGATACCTTGGCTTTCTTCAGGAAACAGCTGGATGAGGTATTTGGATCAATTAACCACTGAATGGCATCCTCTTGTTTTTAACCTTTCTTATGTTCTTAAAAATGTTTCAATGTCTTTTCTATCTTATTTTTGTGAACTCCTTCTGGTCTTTTCAGACATCGACGAGTGCAGCTCGGGGCTGGCTCAGTGTTCTCATCGCTGTGTTAACATCATGGGCTCGTTCAGCTGTGTCTGCAACCCTGGATTTGAGTTGGGAGCCAATGGGAAACAGTGTTATCGTGAGTGTGAAGACTTATCAAAATTAGGCTCAGTAACAGGGAATGAGATACAGCGTTATGACTTTCAGGGATTAAGAGTATTTTAAAATACAAACATGCAATAAGAAAATAAGAGTAATTGGGGCTATATTATTTGCTGACACTAAAATGCTGTGCCATTTTTCGGTTATGGTTGTGAATGGGGAATTGAGAAGCAGTTAATTCTGCACTTAAAGACAAAATACAGCTGCTGAGCCTTATTCAGTCCATAAATCAATTCAGGAATGTGAATTCCAAATTCATAAACCTAAATTAAAATAAAACTAAAATAGGTGATAAATTCATTTATACGGAGAGATGTGTTTTTTTTCATTTCCGACTCTCATTGCCTTCAGGCATTGAAATGGAGATAGTCAATAGCTGTGAGAAGGACAATGGAGGATGCTCTCATCACTGTGAGCACACTACCAACGGGCCTCTCTGCTCCTGTAACCAGGGATACCAGCTCGACGACGACAGAAAGAGCTGTATAGGTAAGCATATCCCGTTTTAATATGAAATTGCTGATAAATACAAAATACAATTTTCAGATCTGATGCTTGCTCAATCATCCATTTAAATACTTTTCACTTTTCTTAATGGAATATAGTGTAGTTTGGGGCCTTCAGTAAATATACAGTATACTGTATGTACAGGTAAGTTACTGTAACTACCAGTACACTTGTAACTGAAATTGTTCATAACTCATTCCCTCATCCAAAATTAAAGTTAACATTTGTTCTTTCTCTTAAGGGGATATGAAAAGTGTTTCATTTCCTTCTACCTTAATGGTATCAAAAGTAGAAACCTTTCTTCACAAACGTGATAACCGGAGAAGTCAAAATAGCAGAATGATAGCTTTTTTCCCCTCTGGGACTTCACTGTGCTTGCATGCTTGGTGTTCAGCGCCGGTCAGCTTTTCAGGGTGAAAACAAACATTTGCCCAGTGAATGGCAGTGGTGGAGCCCTTGTCATCAACAGCATCCTGCTCCATTCTCTTAGACAGTGATGAGTGTGAGAGTGGAAAGGCCTGCTGTAACCATTTCTGCAACAACTATCCAGGAGGCTATGAGTGCAGCTGTAAGGCAGGTTACAGACTGAGTCCTGATGGCTGCAGCTGTGAGGGTAAGTAGAACCTGCAAATTCTGGGGTATCGCTGTTCAATTGCACAGCAAACCCTGTTAAATTTATTAGATGCTACATGCTATGCCAGAAAATACTATGCATGCAAAATAAAACAGTTAAAAAAGAAATGACAGAGTCCAGTTAACTGTACAGACGGTAGAACAATCATTAGTTTATTAAAGTTTCTTAAGTCTGCTTTTGGATATTTTCCTCACATACGTTTATTGTATTGTTATTAATATTAGAGGTCCAGACCCATGTGATCTAATAAGCCCAAAAATGCAGTGAAGTCAGACTTTATATGGCATGTTTTTCTCAGTCTGGAACATTGTCATGTTTTTCCTCGAGGAAGTCATAAATCTAGAAAGGTTTCTATACTCGTGGTGCCTTGTATAAAGGAAAGTACAATTCGGTCCTCTGTTTTTAGACGTGGATGAATGTTTGGCCGAGAGCGCTGGCTGTGATCACATCTGTATCAATTCCCTGGGATCCTTTGAGTGCTCCTGTCAGGGGGGATTCCAACTGGATTTTGACAGGAGGTCATGCATCCGTAAGAACCGCTGTTCCTCAAGAGTGGGAGTGTAAAGGGGAGATCAACAGAGAACGTTAGAGATGCAGTTTTGGTGTGGGACCTATTGTTCAGATTATAACACATGAACAGTTTTGCACTGTATGCAATACTCATGCTGTGTATTCACCTGCTAAAAGTATAGTGGAATATTTACCCAAAATCAAAGACAGATCAAATATAATTAGCCCTGAAATAAGCTGTTCAGAGTTCATTTTATGCTTCCCTACTAAAAGACTAGAGTATTAGAGTAGAGTGCTTCCACAGAAGTAACTCATTCATTTCAAAATTGTGGTAATGGCCTCATAAAGTAATATATTTCATTATTCCTGAGGACTGGGAAGCAGTTCATGTCTTCACCTCAGTGGTATGGAAAACAAAGCTTTCAGGTCACAAGTGGAAACTTAATGGAAGTGCATTTACTGAGAACATGAGGAACATCTTCATGTGAATGGTTGTGGGAATATGGAACAAGCCTCATAATCTGGCATCTTTTAAGAAATGGCTGGATGAGATGCTTGGATCCATTAGCTACTACCTACCATATGGCCTGTATGGACTGAATGGCCTCTTGACTGCAACTGTTCTTATGTTGGTAGATTGAATATCAGCAATGCACTACCATGTGTTTTCATCTATGTGTTTTTCAGATTCACAGCACACTCTGTTCATTAAAATAAACGAACCAGCAAAATAAATGCTGGGCTTTCTAGTAGGATTACAAGGGATACAAGGGAAGATGCTTCTAGCTGCACATGGCTCCCACACTGTGATGCGTGCCTAACAACGACTGTCTGTCTCCAGCACTTTACGATGATGACTTAGAGGAAGAGGAGGAGGACCTGGAGGTGGTGCGCTTGCCTGATCTGCTGTTTCGCCGGGCCCCCCAGCTCCTGCACTACACTGCTGCTCTGCGCTCCCCCTATGACTACGAAGAGGAAGGGGATGTCAGGGGAGAACTGTCTCTCGTCAGCAAAATCGGTAGCAGAACCGTTTCTTTAGATGTCACAGGATTACAAACTCAGCTCCACTGCTGTGCTTTAGCAGGTGTAGAGGAGGCAACGTTTTTCCACTACTGAGAGGCTGGAGGCCAGGTTCAATAGTGGTAGAACAGAATGGATTTGAATACACTCTAGTAGTCCTGGAATTGGAAGGGAACTTTTTAGGGGTTAATCCATGCGTGTCAGGCAAAAAGTCAAGGACACCATTTTTCATCTCCTTTACTATACCTGCTTTTCAGTAATTTACTTAGTCTTCTTGTAGTCAATGGATATAATCCTTTTGAAACAAGACATGTTATGTTCTGTTGCAAATTTTTTATTTAGTGGTATGGGAAAATCATGCAAACCTTTGAGATAGTTGCCACTATTTATACCCTCTGCATTTCATATCACCCTGTAGGTTTTCATCTGGAACAGCAATGTGCATTTTCTGTATATCAACAACTTATAAAATGACCTTTACATATTTCCAGTTTCATTGCTTTTCCAACACTTGGTTACACTATGCTCAGAATATAAAATTACTATGAAGGCATTTGTGATGGAGTATAACTGTGCCTTTCATGTAAGAGCAGTGACTGTGTTTAAAAAGGGTTTTCAATGTATTCCAGTATGCCTCGATAGTACCTTTGGAGATGACTGCAGTTTGAGCTGTGAGGACTGTGCCAACAATGCCGTCTGTAGTGCAGACAGAGACAGGTGTGATTGCCTTCCAGGATGGACTGGACTTATCTGCAATGAAAGTAAGCACTTCATGTATAAAAGGGTTGTAAACACCACTGTAAGAATAGCAACTGTGTGTGACTAAGCCAAGGGTGTCCTTTTTCATACCTAGAATTATAACTCCACAAAAATTCTATATCTAGAACACACATATATAAGGGAAATGTTTGAGAACTCAGGAAAAGAAGAGAGAATGTTCATAAAAAACAGAAGAACAAACAAGTCATATCCTGAACTTCCTGTCTAATACCTTAGGTCATGTTCATCGTAAAATGTCATCTAATTATGTGGAACAACATCTTCCCTTGTGTCATTAATTACTTTTTCCCCCCTAAATCGCTTCCCACACTAATGTAGAATATTTCAGAGACTTGTGGATTTCAGTTTTTTTGAACCAATAGCATGGTATAACAATATGAAGCATTTTCATATTAGGCAATTTGAGGAAGAGAGAAACCTTCTCTCTTCAAACCTTTTCTCTGTAACGATCCCAACAACTTGTCTTTGCTTTAACCAGGGACTTAATCTTGTGATTGATTCGGTCATTTTCTTTATTTGGGAAAATTAAGATAATTGTTGAACTTGAACAGAACACAGTTATCCATAGAACAAAAACTTACCAAATGCTTGGAACATGACATGAAGTTTTGCATATTAAATCAAAGAGCTTTTGTTAAAAAGAGACACATTGATTAATTAGCTGCAGTAACATAAACTATTGCCAGTAGTGGAATTGTGGAAATATGCACATTTTGCTATTCAAAAGTCCTACCATTTTCACATCTGAATAAATTTGCTCATACAATTAATGAAGTAATGTTGTACACTTTTCCTGTGGAGCAGATAAAAGAGGGTAAAGAGAACGTTTTAAATTCTAAAATAGAATTAACACTCATAACAAGATTATTACAAGCCTCTCTACAGAATTTAAAATAAAAACACAGTCTGATATTGTTTCCTTCTCACACATATGGACTGGGTTAGTTGTAATTGGTTTTATGACTGTGCCAATACACTTAAGCTTTCAAACTCAAATACTCAGAGATTAATCTAATCCAGAAAAGGGAGGGAAAGACTTATGTTCACACAAGTTACTTACAGTATCTACTGAGACCAAAGAACAGTAGTCTCTGATCTAAAGGTTCCTTCAAAAGTCCAAATAATATAGTTATGATAAATAGTCGCTGATCTCACTAGCACTGGGATGAATTTTCAGTCAATGGTAACAAAGTATAGGCCATGTTTAATGTCACATTTTAGATGTACTCAGAAATTTCTTTGTACTCAGAAAAGTCCTCTGATAAAACTAAAGGGTAGCAGAAGAGTAGTACAGTTTGCTGTTTTGCATTAGACAAAATTATGGACATGAATCACGGGACCTCAAAGTCTCTAGGTACAGCATATAGTCTTGAAAGCAAGACACACTCCTTTTCACGAAGGGACAAAGAGTTGTACATGTGTTTGAAGCAGACAACCTGTTATCTTAGTTATCAAATGGGTAGCCAAGTGGCCTTCTTTTTATTATATGTTTTTAAGGAAATTATGAATCCATCCATCCATTTTCTAACCACTTTATCCAGTATAGAGAGGCTGGGGAGCTGTAGCCCATGCCAGCAAGCCACCGGTACAAGGCAGGAAACACCCTGGATGGGACAACACTCTGTTGCAGGGCAGACACAAACACACCCATCAATTTTACTGAAGCCAATTAACCTGCCAGCATGTCCTTGGACTGTGGGAGGAAATCAGCACAAAGTGGAAATCCACATGAGAACACACAAACTTCACACAGAACCCAGGAACTGAATTGAACCCAGGGATCCAGCACTGCAAGGCAACAATGCTAACCATTGCTGTCACAGATGTCGGAAGGGATGAACCGTGGAATGGCAGGAGAGCGAAAAGACCCTATGCGTAGCTGCGAGACGGGGGTTAGCCCGGGCTCAGCTGCTCAGGGAATGCCGTATAGAAACCTGTGCCCTCAGGTAGCGGACGTGGGGCGACCTGGTGCTAGGCGGATCTCAGGACATCCGAACGTCAATGCTGAGCGAAGGCAGAATGAAAGACCCGGAAATATACAGCCCCAGAGAGAGAAAAACACCGGAAGGACAGCAGAGAATTGGAAATGAGAGACAGGACAGAGAAGGAGCACCCTCTGGCTACTGAGGGCTTGACACATTGCAAGCTCTGCAGCATAACATGTCACCCGTTTTATGAGTCTTTGTGGATTCATTCATTAAGTAAATAAGACTAATGCACTAGTGTCTTCTACAAATTCAAAAATGGAAGAAAAAAATCAGTAAAAGACCTGCTTCCTTCCCAGACCTCAGATTCTGTTTAAGTCAGCTCACAGCTGGAAGTGTAAAAATGTTACTGAACTTTTCCAATGACGCTGCAGGATACTTAACATCTACAGTAGTTCATGTCTTCCTTTTCACCCAGCATGTCCACAGGGAACCTTTGGGAAGGGCTGTAACAGCATCTGTAGATGCCAGAATGGAGGGTCCTGTGACTCTGTGACAGGAAAATGCCGCTGTCCCCCAGGAGTTCATGGAGAGTTCTGTCAGGATGGTAAGAACCTTTTCCCCTCTTAGTCACATGGAGGATTTGTTTAAGCCAGTAGGCTGAAAGGCAATGCCAGTACAACTCTACCACTCATAGGAATCACTGTGATATATTTTTGCCATTTCTTTAGATATCACACATCGCAGCTGCATATACAGTATTACTGACATAGCTTTGAGAGATTGACCTCCAGCTTGCAATCAGTTGCCATTAGTATAAGTATACAGTAAGTGCTTGTGTCATGTCTTTTGTACACATTTGTAGTTTTTGGTAACATTTAACTTGTTCCACCCAACGGTGGGCAGTCAAGATTTTATTAAAAGTTTTGGCTTTAAAAACTGTGTATACATTTTTGTAATTCAACAAAAACGGGATATCATTGGAAGGAGGTGAATAGAAATCATTAAAGTATGGCCCAGGTAACATAAAATGAAAGTAAGAAGTTTTATTGTTAATGTTAGAATAATATAACATACTTTTATTATTATGTTGATAATAATTGATAATGATTGAGTATCAGGAATTTTTAATGAAGCATCTAATACTTCTAACAGTTCACTTAAACTTAAGAAATGAGAAGGTGACTTTGAGTTTGAAATCTGAAGCGTGTAAAATTCAGTAGTTTAATATCCTTATGAATGCGTAAGAGGGATGAAGTATGTGGAGCGTGCTTGGCGTGACTTGGCTAGCTGAGGGAATGGCAGCCTGGCCAAGAGGGTGCAGGACAGATATGTGAAAGGCAGTCCTGGGTGCAAAACTTTCCGCAGGCAAGTGGATGTGTGTGAGATTAGGATCTAACCTTCCTCCCGGACTTCTGTTATAACCATCATCTGTTAGAAGTAGCATTTGTATTCTGAGCTGAGTGGTTTTTCACTGTGTTTGTTAGGCTGCCCAAAGGGCTTTTATGGAAAAAGCTGTGACAGAAGGTGCAACTGTCCCAACAACGGCTATTGCCACAGGCTCTATGGTGCTTGTCTCTGCGACCCTGGGCTTTACGGACTCTTCTGCCACTTGCGTAAGTAGCCGAGTCCGCTGCATTACAGACACTTGTGGAAAACAAGCAGTCTATGAACGTTATGGTTGACTGTAACATACAGTATTGTGGTTGAGTATGAGACTGTGGGTGACGCTAAGGTTGGGTGGGAGATATTGTGGAATTCCTGCAGTAAAATGTGACCAAGTCTGAATACAATATATTTACACCTCTGATTAAACACCATATGGTACTCTTGTGTGTGTGCGCCATGAATCTGCCCTCTTGCTGGCCACAGCGTGTCCCAGATGGGCCTACGGAGCTGGCTGCTCGGAGGAATGTGACTGTGTGGTGGAGAACTCCCTGGGATGTGATGCCCGAAATGGGTCTTGTACCTGCAGGCCTGGTTTCCATGGTGACAAGTGCCAGAAAGGTACCAAATGTTTTTCCCGTTAATTCTCAAGGCCATGTTTCCCACTGCATGACTAACCTGACTAGTGTACAGTCCAGCCATCATCATTATCAGCGGCAGCTCTCGCATTATCATAACTACCATCCTAATCAAGGCGGTTTTCGACAGAGTGTGAGACGGGATTTTTTGGCGCTGGCTGCAAGCTGAGGTGCGACTGCGCCGTCGGGGTGTCGTGTGATGGTCAGACCGGGAAATGCAATCAGCGGTGTGCTCCAGGGTTTCACGGGGAGAGGTGCCAACTGTGTAAGTACCCTAACAGAGTGGAGCATAGGAAGCAGTAGGAACTCAGGCTCTTAACAGGCGTTGCTCATCCTTACATTAGCTCTCGCTTATCGCGATTCCACTCCGAAAGCCACCCGGTGCACTTACTGGGCTTTGGAAACAAATTACAGTATACGCCCTCCAGCATTTTGGAAATGAACAAATCTCTTATTCCAATAGAAAAACACAATTGTTAAATTCAAACTTCGTAATGCAATAATGAATACCGTGTCTCAAGTCTGCAATTTTATAAAGACTGTTTCTGGCTCTAATGAAAAACCTGATCGTTTCTGGCCCTGCTTTCGAATGGAAAGTTGCATCCACTTGAACTTTAGGGACTCCAAACTCGGAAGGGATATTTAATAGCTTTTTTTTGTTCTGGTTTTGCTATAATACCATTTCCCCAAAGTAGATCAAAGATAACATTAGGGTCTTGACTTAATGCTTTATCCAGATTGTTTTTGGAATCAGTTTTAAGGCAAACAAATCATCCATCTCTTTAAGGCAGGTTGTCAGATACAGTAAGTTTGTAAACAGTCATTCCTTTCCCCGTTTTTTTGATACTGAAGAAAATACATAGTAATAACAGCTATTCATAATAGTTGTTTTAAGTCAGTGTATGAATACTATATAAACTTTAGCACCACATTTAGAATAATTGTTTTTGGAGTCTTTTACTCCTGTCATTTTTCTGACAGATATCAAGACTTGAAAAAATTCAAGCACAGGAGAATATTACACTGCTTAGAATTTATCTGTCCAGATTGTGCAAGCTTATGACTTTTCAAAGGGAAACTACAGCTTTTAAAATATATAGATAATATATAGATTTTTAAGTGCCTATTTTAGCAAAGGCATCTACAGCTGAAGATCAATTAGGTTGTGAAGTAATGTATTCTCTTGTTTGGTATCTTAAGGTAATAGCCAATGGCACTTTTAGAATGTGAGATTTGCTTGTGCCTTTTAAGGCAACATGTTCTGTCAGGTGTGACTGTCTTTGCCATTTCTGCAGCCTGTGAGCTGGGAAAGTTCGGTGTGAACTGCCAAGAAGATTGTGACTGTGGTGGGGCTCCGTGTGATTCCCAGACCGGTCTGTGTGTCTGTCCTCCTGGAAAGACTGGCTCAGCCTGCGAAAAGGGTGAGGAAGACAGGAGAAAGACAGATGTTGCTTTGAAGAGATTATTAGCAATTTGTTTTGCCATTTTAGCTCTCAAGTTAATCTAATGCACTTCTTGTGTTTGCAGATGGGGTGCAGTTAAGTGTGCAGGTAATCTAAGATCTTGGATTTAGAAATAACTTAATTTAGCACATTATTTGTTTTCACTAACATTTTCCCCAGTATACTGAGAGAATATGCAGCAGCCTCATCACGATGACTGACCTTTAAAGACCTCTGCTGTTGTGTTTTTGGGTGACTCATTCACAGGCGCAGGTTACCAGCTGTCTCTGTTCTCAGCATTCGAGTCCATGTTGCTGACTTCACAACAGTACAAATTGCTAAAATAAATTCAAAATTAATCTAGAGGCTTCTGAGTGACTCAAATAGTTAAGTGGCTGGTTTGGAGAGCTGGATGAGCCCTATAATCCAGACGGTGCCGATTCGAGCCTGAGTTGTGTCACTAACTACCACTAGTACTGGCTGGCTTGCACATCTGTAAGCTTGCAATGAGAAGCACATGCTCGTCCACTCAGGGCCTCCTGTTAGGCACTATGGAGCTCACTGTATGGGTGACTGTCCAAGGCTTCGCATTGACACTCACTCTGCTGACGCACCTTCAGTGGATAATCTGGATGGGAGTATGAAATGCAGAAGTAATTCATGATTTCAAATTTAAGAAACAATGTGTCTGCTATTCAGTCTTACAAACTAAACAGACTTCAAATCCCTTGGAAGGGGACTCCTGACAGGCTCACCCAGTAAAAAGGCTCTTGCCCACCGTAGGCTGAGCTTTGTGATTCAGGTACCTGTATTTCAGCTTAGCCATGTCACTAGCTGACTGTGACTAGGACTCCCCAAGCAGCAGGCGGGATAAGCTCAGCTCCCAGCAACAGAGCACTCCATGTGGCCTCCTGGGTGATTGCAGTGCTGTCAGTGACAGATACACCTGCAACAGGGCTATGCCACATGTGATGTGTTACAAGACCAGTGGCGCTAAGGTGGTGGGATGGAAGAATCTGTCTGCACTTCCTTATTCACTCACTGTGTGGGCTTCATAGCTGCAAGCCGATACGTGATAAACACACAGTCATTCTAAAGTAGGAGGGAATGAAGATAATAGGCTATTCTGATTTTAAAAAAAAACAATCTCTTGTGAGACTTAAAGCCCAAAACTGGTCTCTCAGATAAGAAACATATACAGTAGAATCCCTCTTAGTGCTGCAGCTTTGCTCTTTTTTTCTCAAGCAGCTTTATCATCCTTAGAAGCATTATTGGCTGATTTGTGAAAAGACAGAAAGCTATGTGGGCACAAATTTGAGCACTTCTGCATTTCACCTGTTTGCCAGTCGGTTTGGAAAAGATACTGTAAGCATGAGCTTGTGCTTGTAGGAGACAGAAGGAGCAGACCTTTATTTTACAACATGTAGGGGTAGCCATACTAGACTTTTTAAAAAGTCAGAGCAGAGACCGCAATGTGCTGGCTTTTTACTAGTTCTTTGGTTTGTTAGTGGTTTCAAGTCACTGGGCAACATGACTTGTCTTGGGTTTTGTCCACAGCCTGTCCTGAAGGGTGGTGGGGTATAAACTGTCACTTTCCATGTGGAACCTGTGAGAATGGAGGCACTTGTAACAAAGAGACTGGAAACTGTGAGTGCCATCCAGGGTACAGCGGAAAGTACTGTGAAAAGAGTAAGTCTTAATTAAGAATTGCCTCTGGCTCTCTTTATTTAATTCAGCAACTTACAAATATCTTCACTCTGGCAGTGATTTTGGAAGTAAATTGGCTATTTTTGCTAGCAAATGTCCACAGTTGCTTAAACTTTTTTTTTTTAAATCAGACCACATAGAAGTAATCCATTCAAGAAATAATAAATAATAAACATTTTCCAGTAAAGAGATTTTTGGTTTAGTTCTGCTTCCAGAAATGGACAGCACTGGCTTTTTATGATTTGCACAGATTCATATGAATACTCCTGCTTATTTCTGGTTGATGTTTTGTGTGTTTAAATCAACCAAATCACAGAATATGCATTATGCATGTATTATTGTAAAGACATTGTATACTGTATATTAATACAAATTAAGTATGAGCTTAGAAGGCTAAAAAATGCCAGATGATAATATTTTCTTGAACTTGAACCTCAGTGACCAGTTGCATTCCATGAATACTTTTCCTGTTCAACAGCTTGTCCCAGTGGGTACTATGGGCTTGGCTGCCTGTTTCTCTGTGACTGTAATAACAACGCTGAGTGTGACCCTGTGACCGGGCAGTGTGCCTGCCCCCCGGGGTGGACTGGACATGGCTGCAAAAGACGTGAGTGTGGCAGGAAAGTCTTCTTTTTTCACAGCACATTTTAATGTGAAAACCTTAAGGAAGTGTTTTGATCCACCCCTGTAGTTAAAAATTATTCAGCATGATACATCATTCCATTCGTTTTCATGAAGGAAATATCAGAGGCATTGTCCTTTGATGCGTCTTTTATAACTGATACATTGTTAGTTTGTTATGTTGATCTTGTTTGTTTGTAAGATAAGACGTCTGAACTTGTAACCCCTTTTTCTAAGCCTTTTCAACACATCGCTTTCAATAACTGCTCATCCAACTTAGGGTCACAGTGGCCTAGAGCCTATCCTGGGAAGCACTGGGCTGGAGGCAAGAGACACCATGGACAGTACTCCAATCCAACGCACATTGACACAAACACACTCACACCAACGCCAGTTTTCCTAAAAGTCAATTACCCCACCCAGCGTGTCTGTGGACTGTGGGAGGAAACCAGAGCACCCGGAGGAAACCCACACAAACATGTAGAGAACATGCAGACACCACACAGGTAGCATCTGAGGTCCAGAGTTGAACCCAGGGCCCCCAGCACTGCAAAGCAGCAATGATACCCACTGCACCACTGTGCCCTCTGTAAGCCCTTCCACCAGATGGTAAATTCAATAAAAGCTGGTACTTTTATTCCAGGGTTTTAAATCATAGAATTCCTTTTATTTTCAGCCTGTGAACCGGGCTACTGGGGTCGACAGTGCGCTAGCCAGTGTGAGTGTGAGCACAGCGACTTGAGCTGCAGCCCAGTGACTGGACACTGCCTGTGTGAAGCCGGCTACACTGGAGCCCACTGCCAAAACAGTAAACTCTGCTCCTGAGAATTGATTCATTACGCTGTCTTCTTTGTTTATTTACAATTCAAGTTTTACACAAATGAAAGAGAATGCATAGTTTTTTTTCTTCTAATTTAAGGGAGTTACAGTTGTAATAACCACGATTCTTTATACAAATTAGCTTTAATTTTCTGCAGAACTGTTTTATTTTCTTGCTGGCAGTGTAAACATTTCCAGTGAAAGGCTGCCATCTACAGGCATTTTGTGGAAGTTTGTGTCGCAATTCCTACTCGTGAAGTGTGTTCTTTGTTTCATACTGTACTGTCGAATCTGTACTGCTTTCAGAATGTCCTGATGGTACCTACGGTCTTGGCTGTAACTTCGGCTGTCAGTGTGAGAATGGAGCTGCCTGTGATCATGTCAGTGGGGCTTGTACATGCTTGGCAGGCTGGGCTGGCACCTTCTGTGAACGGCGTAAGTTACAGAGACTCGGTGTTTACGTATCCTAGTTTTGCACATCCAACTAAACAGAAACAAAACAGAAAATTCACAGTGAAAACCTCAGCAATTTCATGACATAGTTCAGAGTTCCTGTTGGAACTTAAAATACCAAGGCAGATTAAGTGTCAAAACAACCACCCATTCTTAACCACTTCATCCTATTCAGAGTTGTGGGCAGCCAGAGTCTATCCTGGAAAGAAAAAGGCACAAGGCAGGATACACCTTGGACAGGATGCCAGTTGATCACAGCACACACACAAACACACACCAGGGCCAATTTTCCCAGAAGACAATTAACCTGCCAGTATGTCGTTTGACTGTACCAGTACATCTTTTAGAGCTCCTGGAAAAAAACCACTTAAACAAAGGGAGAACATACAAACTCTGTGCAGATAGCACCCCAAGTCCAGCATTGAACCCAAGACCCAGTGTTCTAAAGCAGTAATACTAACCACTGTAACGGCAAAACAACCTTAACACAAAATACCCCTAGGTAAAGTGGAACTAAAGTAAAATGTCCTTAGAAAAAAATAGCCAAGAGATTACTTGCACCCAGGACAGCCTGCTCCAGTCCTCAAGGGGCCCAGGGCTCTGTGGTTTCATTTTCATCTTAAGTACTTAAATAAAGTCAATTCACATGTCATTCTTCAGTCACAAGCAGCCATAATCTTTGAAAACCTGCTGAACTCTGGTACCTGGAGGTCCGATTTAAGTCCCCTTTCATACCATTCTGTTGGAAAGTCATGAAAAGTCAGTACCGTGTGTGATTCTGTTCACTAAATCTCCTTCTGGTCCTAATGGGAGTGTTTCAGACTCTCCTGTCACAAGTTAAGCAGTTCAAGAGGTAGCATAGCAATTTACTAATAGCGTCTGTCTGTGTGGTGCTCAGGGAGCTTATTTGAAAGATCTGGAAGCAATCTCCTAGTCTTGCCACCAGTAGGTTTCATTATATGTCTGGCACACCATGTGTCTCGAGCACTAGCAACTCATGCCGGAACTTCACATGTATTAACCAGCAATTGTCTCTGGGAACCTAGAAGACATGCGCCATTAGCAGAAAAACCTACCCTCAGGTATAAAAAGAGAATATCTGTTCTTTAAAATCTCTTTGATTTTGTAGCTGACTTTGCTAACTGGGGACATCTACAGTATGTTGAACAAAAAGGAAAAAGACACAAGGCTGCTTAAAAAGTCCTTATGAGTATACCTGTAGGGAAGATTTCTGTGAGACTCCACAAGACTCCACATGCTCTATACAGTTTCATAGAGATTTCCACTACACTGTGAAACAGCAGCTATAGCAAACTATGAGAATACTGAATTGTTTCCTTAATTTTCATTCATTTCGTATTTTCCTGTTTTTAAAGGCTGATAAAAAGGCACCGTAGTGTAATGGCTGGCATTGCTGCCTTGTAGTGCTGGGGCTCTGGGTTCAATTACAGACCTGGGATGCTATCTGTGTGGAATTTGTATGTTCTCCAAATGTTTGCAGGGGTTTCTTCTCTCTGGGTGCTCTGATTTCCTGCAAAAGTCCAAGGACATACTGGTAGGCTAATTAGCTTCTGGCAATACACTGGCCCTGGTGTGAGTGTGTCTGTGTGTGCCCTGCGATGGAATGGCGTCCCATCCAGGGTGTGCCCGGCCTTGTGCCCGTTGCCTGCTGGGATAGGCCCCACTCAATTGAGTGGTTAGAGAATACATGGATAGATAAACAATAATAACAACGTTATTAATTTTAATTTTAATTGAAAAGTCACTATGATACATCATCGAGAGAAGATATTAAAACATTTAACTCCTGGCATAAAACACAGAAGTAAAGACAATTCTGTGACTTGCATTTTTTCTTTTTGATAAGAAAAATAATCCTTAAGTCTAAATAGACTAAAATAATACTGTAAATAAGACAAAAGTTCTTAATACTATATTTTATTATTTTAAGATATCTTTTGTATTCAAGGAAAACTTAGTCCATATGCAAATTACCAGGTTAAGGAAGCAATTAAAATATCAAAAGACAGTGGTATCTGCAGACATAGACAAGAGCGAGATGATTCTGGTGTGCCCTCCACTGGTTCACAGAACAGTTTTTAACATTGGACTTACTGCAGAGTGCTCATTTTTCTCAGTATCATATCAAATTGTTAAGACCCATACAATCTAAATCTAAATCTCAGTGCTGATGCAGTAGTCATAACAAATTGAATTCACAAAACGTGATTGTCTTGCTCAGTACCTTGAGGACAGAGTATGAAGAATCACTATACAATGTGCTTTTCATTTTCTTATTACACACACCATATTAAGTATATTGCATGGAGGAAATCCAAAGAGACTGGCCCCTGCAGAACAACAGAAGCATTCTGTAGGAGTGCTTCTTTGGCTTTATAATGTTCAGCTTCGTGCAGATTGCTCCCTTTATTCTTGGAAATGTTCCAGCTGTGCATCCTTTAACATGTTTAAAAAAATCTTCTACTCAAGCTGAGGTTCTACTTTGTTTAAAGAAGAAAGTTGGTATTCACATTGAAATCCATTTTGGGATGTTTTAACAAATCTAGGTGATAAAACAGATTCTTTGCATGACTTAGTCTTCTGAATATGATCTAATGTTGTTTTCAAAACTGTAAATTACATGTTTTAACACGCTGTACAAAAAACTCAACAAAATACCGCAGGATATTTGAATCAAAATCTAACTTTTTGTCACCACATTAAATAAACAATTGCATGTTTTTTTTTTTTTTTTACTGCTACTACACATTTAAGGATTGCTGTGGTGTAAGTCTATCCAAGGTGGGTAAACACCACAGACAGGTAGTCACTGTGGAGCGAGATTATTTGGCATTATTAAACTCACCAGGAGCTGGTGAAGACAGGAGTAGTGGGGATTTTACACAGATGTTTCCTGCAGTCTTTAATGCCTCCCCACTCCACAGCTGGATGCATGACAGCATAGTTGTCTGACGCCCGTTAATGAAAACCACCGTCCAGCTGGCCATTTTACTGCAAAGCCACAATGGAGCCAACACAGATGGTATAATAACTGTGAAAAAGCCACAACTACATCCCCACAGCAAACACAAAATCCCTGAAGTATGCAAATGATTGCAAGTGTTTGACATCCGGCAATTGAAACAAGGCGCCTTCCAGAAAGGGGAAGAGAAGGAAGTTTCGAAAGATGCCAGGTTCAGACACTCATCTCTAAGCGCCCCTAATCTAACATGAAAGGGGGGTCTGTCAGTCTTCTTGTTTTTAACCCCTCAAATAGTTTTGGTCAATTGGCAAAAACTATTTGGAACAGGAAGAATTTTAGAAGAGATAATGGTCTTCTTGACATGATACATTCGGCTTGTTGTCTTTTGACTAAAATATTTTTAACAGATGGTTTCATCCAAAGCAATTTACAAAGTGTAGGGGTGAACTATACATTATCAAGTGCTACAAAGCCACTTTGTAAGTGACCTCTATACTGTATGACCCCAGCTTTCTCCATCCAGGAACAGAGCTCTGGATGTAAAGGTTGGATGTGCTTGAACATTGATCATATACTGTACATGTACAAAGAGGTTAGAGTGAAGAGCTCTCAGTATGCAAATTTTAAAGGAACAGGTGAGCAGTTGTTCCCAGCTCTGGTCCTGGAGAAACACTGTGTCTGCAGGTTTTTATTCCAACTGAGTCTTACCTCTCCAGTGCTAACTGATTTACATCATCTGCTTGCTTGTCTAGAGTTGTATCTTCTTTTTTTTCAGTCCCAAATTTCAAAATATTCTAATTCAAGGGTATTGTTTCCAACAACAGCATAGAGGGATTTACAGTACACAACCTCTCCTCAACTTGCTTGCTGTTATTTCTGCCTAAACAACTATCCCGGCATGCAGCGGGCTCAAGGTGGGGTACACCCTGAACAGAACGCCAGTACGTCACAGAACACACACAGACACACACACAGGCGTGCACACTCACACCAGGACCAATTTTCCCAGAATTTTGGGCTTCTTATAATGTTGGATTTTTACTGAAGGAGAAAAGGAAACATAACCATTAGGAAGAAAAGCTTTGCGTGTGGACCCTGCTTTTGTTTCGGATGGTTTCTTAGACCTTGATGTGAGCACAGAAGTGTCACAGCAGGTGCTGGAATGACTTGGAATTTCAGTATCCCTTTGTTCTGTGAGAAGACATGGCACGCTGTCTCATTGCTTTGATGTGCCACTGGTTTTGTGCAGATGTGGAGTATGAGATCACTTAATTAATGCTGATGCTTTATAAATGAACTGGAAAGCAGAATGCTTTTTTAATTTTCATTTTGTAGGTGGTAGACGTGCTATCTTGGTGTTTTGTAAGCACACTGTCCTAGTCATGATCTAAGGGCTGTTTCATCCTGGTTTTCAGCATGCCCGGCTGGCTTTTATGGCCTTGACTGTCACCAGATGTGCAACTGCAGAAATGGTGCTCATTGTAGCCACATCACAGGAGCCTGCCAGTGCCCTCCTGGCTGGGTGGGAACCAAGTGTAACCAGGGTAAGGGCTTCACCTCATTAAATGTGGCATACTTTTGGAATGCTCTTCCTTTCATGCTTCGCTCTTTAAATACATTGCAAATGGTTTCAGAACAATTGTCTATGTAATTATTTAAGTCTTTTTCATTGAGGAAAACCTTTCAGGCATGGCATATTTAACCATAGGTATGCATGTATAAATATGACTCGCACTGTTTGTATGAGTTTCTTACTCTAACAAATCCCTGTAAACACATGAACATAAATATGTACAGTTTACATGGACATAAATATGTGTTATGAATATGTACAGTGTATATGGACATAAACTATACAGATTTATATCGGGAAGCTGAGCTTTTCCACTTCTTAAAGAATTGAATAAAATGTGTTAGTAAATTTCTAATGTTGTACTTACCTGCATATTATCCTTACCCTGTTGTTGTGTGTTAACTATGTTAATGAAAATTCAATAGCATTTCCTGGCGTTAAATTGTTGGAGGTTTAAAGGAAACCTCTACACCTCGCAGGTGGTACGTCCTTCACAAATATGACCACCCTTAAATGAATTTGTCTGTGCAAAGCTTAATTTTTCATTTGTAAAAACAATTGTTACATAGTCATAAACAACTAACATAATGTTTGCGTGTCTTGCCTTTCAAATCTGTTCAGTCCCGTGCATTTATGGCACTGTTCAATTATCATCCCAGCTTGCCCAAGAGGACAGTATGGTATTAACTGCAGTGAGACCTGTGATTGTCACAACGGAGCAGCCTGTGACCACATCTCTGGGCAGTGCAGCTGTGCTGCGGGCTGGACAGGAGCTACCTGTCAGCAGCGTAAGTGAATAAAAACCTTAAAAATGCTCGAAACCTTGATGGTTTGGACTAGTGCAATACCCTGCTATATTGCAATGTACAATAAGTTTGCATACATACACTAACTTTTACTAATCAGGTCTAATGCTTGTCCTTTTACTATAGTGTCAATTTATACAAGTATTGCACATACTGTAGCACTGTAATGCATTGGTATGACATACAGATTTTTTTCTGAATTAATACTTCATGATCTAACAGAGGCCACAATCTGTTAAAATTGTATTTGAGACAGGAATGCCATTTTGCCTATATTCTCTTTTTGTGTATTGTAACGATGAGCTTTTCAGAAAGGCTTTCAGTATTTAATGCAGTGTACCTGTTTAGCATGCCCTGCTGGACTCTATGGTGTGGACTGTCTTCACCATTGTATCTGCCAAAATGGGGGCTCCTGTGACCTGGTGACTGGCCAGTGCTTGTGTCCCAGAGGCTGGACTGGGGTTGCCTGTGAACTAGGTTAGGATGTATTTTTTATTGGCATTAACTAAACTTAACTTTTAAGCTTGGTTCTTTTGCTTTTTGCTAGATGTACATCTGTCAGTGTCTGCCCTTACGTAGGATTATTAAAGTATACAATGGTTAAGTCAAAGAGTATGCATGTAGAGAGATGTACTATAGTAAAATGTGATACAACCAGTGGAAATCTGTAGCAAAGAAAAGCAAACATGTGAGGCGAGAGTGGGGAAGCTGCTAACTTTTCATAAAGGCAAGAATACACCAACGGTCTGGAATAGCAGAATCAGACATTAGTTCTTTGGTTTACCCCCCATCACAGCCATGTCAAAATATAGTGGTAAAAGATATTAAAAGGGTATACCAAGGTGGGAAGCAACAAATGAGAAAAAACAGTGACTCCAATCATCAGAACTATGTGTCTCAGGAAACCAGCTCCTGATTTTAACAATTTGTTCTCTGGATTGCTAAGAGTGTGAAGATGGGCGGTTTGGAGAAGGATGTGCACAGACCTGTAATTGCACAAATGGTGGACTCTGTGAGAGACACTCAGGGAAATGTGTCTGTCGCCCAGGCTGGACTGGTGACCAGTGTGAAACAGGTAAAAGACTTTTAACATAAAGATAGACATTTCTGGAGTTCACCATAATAAAGACATTCAGATTGGCCGGCAGCATAATCCCCAAGGAATTGGATAAGAATTCCAAAACACATAACAGTTTGAGCCCTGCATGGAGTTTGTACTGTATGTTCTCCCAGTGTTCAGTCTGGTTTCCTGCAGGTGCTCTGGTTTCCTCCTACAGTCCAAAGACATACAGTACTGGTTGGTTAAATTGGCTTCTGGGAAAAACTGGCCCTGGTGTGGGTGTGGGTGTGTTTTTGTCTGTGTGTGCTCTGTGGACTTCCAGGGTTTATCCTTTCTTGTCACCCGTTGCTTGCCAGGATAGACACCAGCTCCCCCCATGGCCCTGTACTGGATAAAGCAGTTGAAAAATGGATGAATTGATGGAACAGTTTCAGCTACTTTCTTTTCTAACAAAACTCCAGACTCTGACATGACCCAAAACCAGACACAGGGTATTTGAAACACATTACCTTATTTTGAATACATTTGCCAGATGTGGGAAGTTAAAATAATCTGGAATATACAAGTATCACATTTGTGTTCCTGAAGTAGAATGTGTACAACAGCCAACGTCTTGTATAATCCGACATGGATTAAACCGTTAAGCGGTGTGAGATTTTTCAAATTTGGTGAACCAAATGTCACATTTCACACAGAAATCTGGGTGGACAGTAGTTCAGAGCACTAATTTATTTTCACTTATCGTTCTCTTATGAAAAGGTTCCCAGCTGGCCCCACATCAAACAGGATGGGTCTTGTATGTTTGCTCTAAATTAAAACAAATGAAGGAATAACCTGAGCAGCTAAATCATTTGGTATTTTCTGTTTCTGTCAACCAAAGTTTCCCTTGACTACCAATGAACAGCTGATCAGCAAAATGTCTGTGTGAATTAGGACATTATATTAATTAACTGAAACACAAACCAATCCATAATTAGGGGAAAAGGTTACCATGAAATACAATAGCACAAAACAAGAATAAGAATAGGCACCTTATCTATGTAGTGTTTAGCATTGCTGCCTCTCAGCACTAGCATGGTATTTGAATGTTCTCCCCGTGTTTGTATGGGTTTCCTCCAGGTGCTCTGGTTTCCTCCCAAAAACATACTGGTAAGTTACATGGCTTCTGGGGAAAACTGGCCCTGGTATTAATGTGTGTGTTTGTGTCTGTGTGCGTCTTCTGACGGAGAGGCATCCCGTCCACGGTGTACCCCAACTTGTGCCTATTGCTTGCCAGAATAGACTCTGGCCCCCCCCCCCCCCCCCCACCCTGTATTGAATAAAGGGGTTAGAGAATGGATGGATAGATAAGTGTACTCAACATCACAGCACTTGCTCTCTCTGCAGAGGTGGTCTGCGCAGAACACAACATGAAAAACAGACCTTCACCCGTTTGGTCATTTGGGTAGTAATTAATGGCCGCCATGTTGACTGTGTTGCAGCCTGTGCGGAGGGCTACTACGGGGAGCGCTGTGAGGAGCAGTGTGACTGTGAGCATGGCTCCACGTGTCACCACGTCACAGGCTGGTGTCAGTGTCAGCAGGGCTGGAGAGGGGACAGGTGTGACAAGCGTGAGTTGACATACGTGTTTTAAGAGCATAGATACTGTATACTGTATCATAAAGAAACTAAGACTTGCCTCAGAAGCGTACGCCTGGCTATAGGAAGAAAAAATTGTATTTGTTGTTAGTTTTTTTTTATATGAAGTCATAACACAAGCAGTAAAATGACAAAGGTGTATCATACTGGAATAATTAAAGAGGACACCTGAGAACACTGTTGTCTTGTTTTATTTTTATATATAATAGGTCATGCAAAAGCTTAATCAAATGCCATCGGTAGAATATGGAGGTTCTTTACATTTCATGGAGTGAACAGGACTTTTCAGAAAACGCTTACTTTTCTACTGTGGGTTTTCTCTTCAGCCTGTCTACCTGGATATTATGGCGATAACTGTGCCCAGCAATGCAAATGTCCTCCTGGTGTCTCCTGCAACCACGTCACTGGAGAATGTGGCTGTCCTGCAGGCTTCACGGGGAATGGTTGTGAAGAAAGTAGGACATTTGTTTGGCTAAACATTTAGTTCTTTTTTCCTTCCTTTTTTTTTAATTCTTAATCTGTGGAAAAGCTGACTGACTCCACTAGAAAGCTGAGTGACTTCTACAGTCATTCTTTGTCTTGTGCATACACTGCTGAATAAGTGAGTAAAATGGCATATGTCCTATTTGGTCTGTTTTTTTCACAGCAGTATTGTTCTGTCAATGTCTTTTTCAGCGTGTCCTCCAGGCACTTACGGCCAGACGTGTGGCCAGCTGTGCCAGTGCTCTGGTGACAAGGAACAATGTCACCCCATCACGGGGAAGTGTACCTGCCTGCCTGGTTACTATGGAAACCGCTGTGAGCTCAGTAAGAGTTACCTGCTGTGGGAAGTGAGATGTCGCCTTCGGTCAGAGCAAGGCTACTCAACGGCTGGCCATCGCAGTACTTCAGTGAAATCAGGGCCTTAAGGGTTACTGTATGTTGATCTTAGTAATAATGAGTTGATTGTTGCAAAAGGAAATGTTTCAGGTGGGCCCCGACCACATATACAGTATCTGGGACAGAGGAATATGCCTAAAAAACAAGTGTTGTCTGTGATACGTGCTGGCATTTTTGAAGACTAGCGCTTGGTGTGCAGAAATAGGCTGCATTTTATGATAGTTTATGTGTTTATTTAGGGGTTTGTACAGCATGACAGAATGACAAGTTTGCTTCTAGGGATTGTCTAGAATCATCCTTCGTTATGAAACAATACCTGACAAGATGCTGTTAAGAAGTACAGAACATGCATACAGTACTTAACTCAACTCTTTCATTCCAGAGTGCCAAGAAGGAACTTATGGGCCTTATTGCAGAGAGAGCTGTAGGTGCCAGAATGGAGGACGATGTGACCCCGTGACTGGTGCCTGTCAGTGCCCTCCAGGATTCCTGGGAGCAGACTGCAGCTTGAGTAAGACTTTCATGTGCTTCTGGGAATGAAGCTCGGTGTTTTCACTTATTTGACTGTCCTTTGGTATGTTAAATGCTCACTGTATTTAAATGGAAAATCAGTTCAAATAATAGGCGAAAATCCCCCATTCAGGCTGTCCACAGGGCCGCTATGGGAAGGACTGTGCCCTGGTGTGTTCCTGTGGTGAGGGAGGTCAGTGCCACCTGGTGACAGGAAGGTGTAAGTGCCCACCTGGCAGAACTGGTCCATCTTGTCAGCAAGGTAAATACATTGTTCTTCATTTGTGGAAACAAGGTTTTGAATTGCTTTCAAATGGTAAATCTGTTCACTGGTGTTAAGCAGAATAGAGGCAAGATGTTGCTAAAAGATTCACACTGTATATATTTACATATTTAATGTGCTGCTGATATTGTAAAGGTACTGTGTGATACGATTGAGTGACAAAACTGTACATTTTGAAAATAATTCCATGATCACATTTGTATAAATACCTATATACAATTTCTGCATATTCTCTAGGAAGGAATAAAGTTTAAAAAAATTCAGCATTTTACAGTGAATGGGTAGTTATCCTGGAATCCAGTGCAGTTTTCCCACTCCAAACCAATGTCAATGATTTCTTCAAATGCCTCATATATGAAAATTGTCAGTGCAGAAGGATCTCTGTAGATGTTCCATGCCATATGTTGCAATAATTATTCAAGTGGATGAGAAACAAAATTGTTTTTGTTTTATTGTTTTATATTCAGTATCTAAATTGCCTGAAGAGTTATTATCAGGATGAGTTTATTGTTCTGTTAGATTTAGCCACTTTGGCATCATATTAAGCCATTTAATAAGGTTTGGCATTGATAAATGTGGTCATTTCTATATATGTACGTATACATTTAGAAAAGGGTCATATGAAAGTTAACTTGTTGGCGCGCACAGTGACATAGATGCAAAGGGACAGTTTGGCTTGCAATACAACCAAGATGTTATCTTCATGTGGAATTTCTAGAATTGTGATTGCTACAAAATTGCTAGTTCATTAATTTGCTTTGCTCCTGCTTCAGCCTGCCCCAGAGAAAGCTACGGAGAGGACTGCCAGCACACCTGCTCTTGCCAAAATGGTGCAATTTGTAACCCAGAGAATGGGACCTGTATATGTGGATTGGGATGGACTGGATCTTACTGTGAGAAAGGTACTTTGCTTTTTTTTTGTATTCATAGGACTTAATGATGCATATGAACTTTAATATGAGAACCTGGTCTCAAAGGTCTGAGCTTTAAAACCAAGCAGATTTTGTTCTTCCTGTTCCATCCAGCCACCATTTTCTAACTGCTTTATCCAATTCAGGGCAAGGGAGCTGGAGCCTATCCTGGCAAACAACAGGAGTAAGGGAGGGTAGACCCCAAGAGGATGACAGTCCATCACAGGGCACACACAGACACAAACACACATTCACTCCAAGGCCAATTCTCCCAGAAGCCAAGTAACCTACCAGTATATCTTGGGACTGTGGGAGGAAACTGGAGCACCTGGAGGAAACCCACACACAGGGAAACTCCAGGCAGCACCCCAGGAGCTGAACCCAGGGCCCCAGTGCTGCCAGGCAGCAATGCTAACCACTGCCTGTTCGCATGCCATGGAAGTCTTTATGCAAGTGTGTTATCACCGCTGTCCTGCCTGCTCCCTGATTGTTATGGTGTGCTGCATGCTTGTGCTTCATAGTAACATCAGTCTCCACACTGAGCACTGTCTGTTGCTTTTGCTCAGTATTTTCTGGGTTGGAATGAAGACTATTCACCTTTAGGATTGCCCTGTAATTCACATCTGGCAACCCACTGAAGCTAAGCATACATGAGCCTGGTCAGTACCTGGATGGGAGACCTCCTGGGAAAAACTAAGGTTGCTGCCGGAAGAGGTGTTAATGGGTCCAGCAGGGGGCGCTCACCCTGGGGTTCATGTGGGTCCTAATGCCCCAGTATAGTGACGGAGACGCTATACTGTATAAAGGTGCCGTCCTTCGGATGAGACGTAAAACCGAGGTCCTGACTCTGTGGTTATTAAAACTCCAAGGGCATTTCTCGAAAAGAGTAGGGGTGTTACCCTGGTGTCCTGGCCAAATTTCCCCCTGGCCTTTACCAATCATGGCCTCCTAATAATCCCCCTCTATGAACTGGCTTCATCACTCTGTTCTCCTCTCCACTGATAGCTGGTGTGTGGTGAGTGGTCTTGAGCACTATAGCTTCTATCACATCATCCAGGTGTTGGAGGGGAGTCCACATTACCTGTAAACAGCTTTGATTGGAGTGTCCAGAAAAGTGCTATGTGTAAGCAATTATTAATTATTTTTTTAACAGGCATATAGTGTAGTATGTTTTCATTTGTTTCCATTAATCATTAATTAGGCCCGTCTCAAGATTTCTGAGCCTGCAGTCTCTCTATGTCTTGTAAACCTGAACAACATCTTGAGCATTTGTAGGAGAAGATAGGCCTAAATCAGTTGGCTTATAAGGATGTTGATAAAGCTACCAGATCCTTCTTCCTATCCATTCTTATCAAGAGCAGTCACAGCCAATTTCACAAACCTTAAATGTAAGGTTTAAGTGTTAAACCTGGGCATGTCAAAAAGTTATCTAAGAACAATAGTGGATGTTTGATTCACTTGTGACCTTTTTTGAATTTACAATTCCATGATAATGATTTTTCCACATCCCACTGTTGTTAGGAACTAGCAATTTAAATTGAATCAATGCAGTAATGTTCACCTGGATCCTACATGTCCATTGTATTGCTAGTTCCCCAACAGCAGATTTAGGCCACATGGCCTAGCAACTTCGTGCCTCTGAAAGCTGTAGTCAGAGAAGAAATTACTTACACAAGGTTTAATCATTTATTAAGCTAAATGGAAAATAAGATAATGTTAAATTGATAGTCTCAATTGTTCTTTCTTTCACATGGAAAGATATTGTAGCTTAAGGAATGTGATTTTATTTTTGTGAAAAGCCTAGCAAAAATACTGTATATAGACTGTTTAGCTGATAAGTTAGCTTGTTTGTTACATAGTTGGCTTTTGGAGAATTAAGAACACTCATTTTGCTGACTGGGGATCAGCAGACACATCACCACAATACAAGCACTGCCACATCACGTCACTTTTGTTCTTTGCTGTTTAAATGACTTGTCCTCATCTTTCAAACTGTCTCCAGGATCTCGCTGTTTCACAGCACTCTTCTCTTAATGAAGACAGTCCTCTTCTTTATTGTATGTTTTTAGTACTCATTTCCACTGACAAAACCAAACTCTAGTGCTTTTGTAGCAGTTCAAGTTACACCCAGTTTCCTTTAACTCCTCAGTTTTCTTCTTAAAAGAACGTGCTTTCTTTAGCAATAAGCAGAGGAGAATTCAACACTGTAACCCATTTGTATTACTCACTAAACTAATCACTTTACACAATGAGACTTTACAGCATTGAATTCTGCTTAACCCCTAGTACTCAGTTCTCAATCTTCAATTCAGTAAACACTACAACTCTCACTCTTTCTCAAGAACTAGATCTTTATTAGCAACCACAAGTTCTTGTGATGAATAACTTCTCTGGCTGACCCTGCTTGGACACCACTCAAAACTTGCACCCCTGACACTTAGATGTTTTGAGATTCTCTAATCACTCAATCTGAAACTACCTCCTTATTTAGAGATGTTAAGGCACCAAGAGTACCATGGATTCATCTAGATTCCTATCTCAGTACAGGCCTAAATAGTTTGGTATGCTCTTGTAACATCTCTATCTCAAGTCTTACTGTAAGCCAGCACAATTCATTACTAATGCATATTTTCTGCAGTACAACTTTCATTCACCCACCCATATCAGCCTGAAGTCTAGAAACAGACTGAAACACTTTTCCTTCAAGCTGTTCTTATAAGCCTCTTAATCAGCTTAAAAGCATGGCTAATTCCCCGCAGAGCCTATCACATCCGTTTCTTTCCCTCATGTGAAATTTCATTCCCTCTGAGTTCTAATTAATCAGAACAGGTGTGCATCATTACCTCATTCTACAGGTTTTCCTATTAAGAGGTGGTTTAAATATCAGGACATGGAGGCTTTCACCAATTGTCTTCCAACAAGTAGTTGGAAGTTTTGACAATGCTCACCACACTGTTGTTGATGGTACTGAGATTTGATGGGAATTAGAAACCTTGGCAGTACATTTGACTCTGTGCTGTGTATTGAACTGCATTTTAGGAACATCACAATGGCATCTTTCTTCTAACTGCAGAACATCGCTTAGTTCAAATCCAAGCTCTGCCTCTCTGACACTCAAATATTGCGAAATGCCTTTATTTCATTATGCTATTTCAAGTATAATAGGCTTCTGTATGTCCAGAATTAAGTATGCCTTGTACATACATTACTCTGCATTATCACATAAGTCCCATCCTGAAAATTGCACTAACACCTTATGAACATACTGTATTGTAAGACACTGAATCATCTACGTCTGGATTATTTGTTAGAATTTACTACATAACTGTACTCCATCTTAAACTTAACTTGCTGATCTTGGGATTCTTACTCAGTAGATAGGATTCTTCACAATGGGCAATAGAGCCTTCTTGCGTGAAAAATCATATCTGTGTAATTCATTGCCCAGAACTATTGGAGCCTCTTTAACTGCATTTCAAAACATCCTTACAGACCTCTCTTTTTACTAAAACTTTTACCATGCAATTGAGTCTTCACTAACTCAGTTTGCTGGACTTCATTCTTTCGCTTTGTGCCTGTTGTGTGTTTTGTGCCTGAGAGTTGTATTTGTATGTGATGTTGTTATGATCTTTAGCTCTACTTTCAGAGTTAAAAGCAGGCATTCTCTTAACCACCTTGCCCTCCAACATATTTACCAGGTGACGCCCAGCTGTATCGGACATTGCAGTCTTCAAAGCTAAAGTTCTATTCTTTGTCGTGTGCTGCCAGGAGCTGTGGTTAGTTTCAAAATGTTAAAGTACTGCACCATGATAAGCTGCTCCAGAGTAACTCCTGCTCCTATGGTTTCAGTCATTGATTATTCAAGTATTTCAGCTGATATGTTCCCTTCATGAAGTGATCCTTCAAGAAATTTCAGTTGATAAATCTTTAAGCTAGTCTCATATTTTGTAAGGGTGGCAACTTTATCTTAATCTAAAGTTCCAACTATTTACAAAACATTGTCTTTTCCATTCTCTGAGCCTGATGATTGATGATGTGAAAAATCCATAAAGTTATAATACAGGTAAAACAAGGTTTTTTTGTGGAGAAATAATGTGTACAGGCCTCTAATGGCCCCATCACACTGATCTATTATTAATTAAATACTCCACATATTGACTGTAGGTCCCAGCACTCCTAACAAAAACGATTGTGCCCATATCTCCTGAAATGGTACAAACATTCTTGGCTTGTCTGCACTTTGCCTTAGAGGAGACTGAAGGAAGCAGGCATGTGCTGTAATGGTTGCACTGTACACATCTTGAAAAACACAAAGGTTCAGGATGATGGCAGCATAACAAATGCTACAAATGGGAGAAGGCAATTTAAATAATCTTGTTAGTTTGGTTGATTGTCCCATATTAATCCAAGGATTTGTTTTGAAAGATCACATCTCCTGCATCAGTACCAGAACAGCAATTTGTAGTGTAATGAACCTATTAAACCGAGGTTGCAAAATTCACTAATGACTGACCTTATATCTCTCTGTAAGGGTATCTAAATATGAGCATAGGGAGTGACACGGTAGAGCTCTCAGGACATTTAGATAACTTCTGCTCAAGGCGATGCTGCTGTCCCATTTGATATATCTCATGACTGTGCAAAGGAACGAAACTGAAAGAGGCAGTGAACGCAAATACAATTAATAACTGTCAATAGACAGGCTGCCTAGTGTAACTAGTGTGCAATAGTGAAGAAATGCTTTCTTTGATATCTTTCCAGAGTGTCCTCCAGGTAAATATGGTGCCGACTGTCTGCTGGACTGCCCTTGCCAGAACAGTGAGTCATGTGACCGATTCACGGGCTGCTGCCACTGCGCTGAGGGCTTCTACGGGCACTCCTGTGAGCACAGTACGTAAGATTGACTGTTTCTGTGTTCAGCCAGTCTTCAGATCCTCTGATCACGAACGACAGGCACGACTTGAGTAGGTTCATATACAGTAATTCAAGAATATATCTGCTGTATCACTGACTTCCTGAATGTCGTTTCCTCAGCCCTTGCATTGCAGAAGCGAGAGAAGTTATATCTTTCTGAGACAAATTCAAAAGCAAATTAATACAGTTCGATTGCCTACAAAAATATTTAAGAAAATACTGCAACACAGATATCACACTTTGCAATATACTATTTGACTATCGCAGTTAACAAAATTGTAAATGAAAACCTGAAAAGAGAAATTGTTTCGTAATTATATTATATATGTGGTATTTCCTACCAGACATAAAGAAGGCACTGACTGCAGTCAATTGACTATCTTGCTAAAACCCTATAATGTGCAATATTTTTTAATACTGAATATCTTTCAATTTAATATTAAGTTTTATATATTCAGAAAAGAAGCATATTGTTCATTTGATGGGCATAGAGAGGATGTTTCAGATCAGTATTGCGCACAGATGTTCCTATACTACAGCTGGTAGGACCATTTTTATTCAAGATGGCTGTAACACCTGTTAATTGTGTTAGCAAGCCATAGGACTGGAAAGCTTATTGTACGTATTTAATGGAAGAACTATTACTTAATGAGCTCTTTAGTTTTCTCTGTAGTAAAATTAATCCTAAACCACCCTATAATCCAGTTGGTAGAATCTTTGTAATACACTCTGGCAGTGCAGAAGAGAGATGATTGTTAAATATAACACTTCAAGTTTTTAGAATTAATTTAATTTGTAGGATTCGTATTCATTTGTGGTTAGGCTTTTACGTTTCAGCAGGTGGGAAATAAGGTTAAGTATTGGGTTTTCTTGGATGGCAGGTCTAAATGTTCAGCATAAAATACTTTATATTTAAAAGCGGAATCTTAGACTGTGATTTATGTACATCTTTACTATGTATATATACTGTAAATATGTAATATGTATATGTAAATATACCGTACATCTCATCTCAATAGAGACAAGCCTGGTTACAGTACGTTGTCAGGATGCAGGTTTCTGTAGTTTAAATCAGGTATAAATCCGCCAGTAACCCTTGCAAATTTGTCCACATACAGATAAGCATTTGAATGATTTCCAGTGAAATTATACAGTGAATACTTACCACTTGCCACATGTACTTTATTTGCTATGTACTCTCAGTGCTGTGCTTATAATAAAATATTGAAGTGTGTAGGTGGAGAGAGAGCTGGAGCTGTGAATAGGCTGCCAGCAATTCTGGCTCCTTGCCTGTTGGACAAGATCTCCCAGCTCCCAGAGAACCCAGCAGAAACACAATAGCCAAACCTCATTGCAATATAAAGATTATTTGAAATTGTAATTCTTACAACATGTGCTAGGTTTCCAGGAAAGATCGATGTGGGAGATGGAGGGATGATCGCACTGTAATTAAACTTTTAACAGTAAGCCCATTGTGCCCTGAGCAGGATTAGTTGATATTATTTTTCTTGATGTTAGGGTGCCCCTCTGGGTTTTTTGGCCTGAACTGCGCTCATCTCTGCGATTGTAAAAATGGTCTCCAATGTCACCCCGTCACTGGCCAGTGTATATGCCCTCCTGGCTTTTATGGACGTCAATGCCAGAAAGGTAAGTGCCTCTGAAAAACAGTGATCTCACTCTATTTCCCACTGTAGATGTACAGTTTTGTATAAACTCATATGAATGTTTACCATGGTGAATGGGCTTTCTGCATTTCCCATTGATTTTAATGTGCCTTTCGCCGTGGTTTGCTTCACATTATGAAACACGCTGGACAATTCTAATGAACTCCTACCATAGCACCTCTTGTCTAGCACATAGTTCAGTGAACTACAATCCTGTGAAGGCATTATAGTGTTCTTTCACTAAGGCATGCCCTTTAACAGAAGCTATCCCATTCTTATACAGTACTTTGAATGACATAATTTCAACAGGCTGAGATGTTTTCTTGCTTTTCGGGCATTAAAGCTAAATGTGTAGTAGGCCTGACAGAGTGTTTATTTTATGAAAAACAGGTGTCCTTCTACTTCTGGTACTTAGGTACTTAATGAATTCCTGGTGCATTTCCCTCTTTTGGCAGTCTTTCAGTTCTCCCTATAAAACAATTGTATATAATGGGAAGGATCAAGGCCTCGGCCTAACTAAGTTTGCCAATTCAGACAAATCCTGAAAACCATAAAGCTGACAGTGTGGGTAGGTTGGCTGGCTGGTGTTGAGAGACTGACTGCTGCTCTGGCTGTTCAGTTTGTGCATTGGGCAGGTATGGGGATACCTGCCAGCACCGCTGTGACTGTGAAGGAGCAGCTCCCTGCCACCATGTCACAGGGAAATGCTTTTGTCCTCCTGGAAGGACCGGAGACAAATGTGACAAAGGTAAGGACACCTTGACTCTAAGCCTAATGTGCAAAGTCCTTTACCAGGCTGGGCTGAATCTTTCCTTAAGCCATGGAAATGTACAGTTTTGGCAATAAAGAAATGAATGAATTAATCTTCCCAGACAAATTTGCATTGTGGTAATCTTTGGCCTGTTTGGGAGTTTTGTGTTAGAATTTGATTTCTCAAGCACCCATCACAGTCAAATGAAAAAAAACAATTTTAGAGAGCTATTTTCAATCACTTGAATACTTCTGTTTAAAAAAGAATCTCTGCTGGCCTGGCTATTGAGTGATGTGCTGACATAGTGCTGTCTCGTAGGCCGTTCCTCCTCAGTGTGAGGCGCTCACATTCATTTTTTAAAACAAAATTCAATAAGTGCCCCGCGCAAAACTCCCCTTTCTCACAGAGTGTAGAAGCAATCGCTATGGACCGGGGTGCTCGCTGACCTGCCAGTGTGCTAACCAAGGACACTGTGACTCCCGCAGTGGGAGCTGCCTGTGTCCCTTCAGCTGGATCGGACCCACGTGCACAGAAGGTAAAACACCCCCGACGGTCGCTGTTAGAACAGCTTGTGGTTCACAGGCATCGAAAGGTGCCTAACAAAAAGCAAAAGTAGACTTGAGCTCCAATCAGTCCAGATTCTAATGCTTTTCGCATCTTGGTCATCAGTCATTTCAAACGTGGAGAGTTATTTTAATCCTGTAGCTGCTGGGACCCAAACTGGAAATGGTCTGAGTGTTTTAAAGGAACCACTCCAGTATGTGCAGATGGGAATAATGGCTTTCCGCTAGTGGTGAACCAAAAATGTTACTGCTTCATTTTAATGTATGTTTTCTCTTCGTTTCCTAGGGGGACCCCTAGACCCCTTGTCTAACCAGAAATCCGGTGATCTGCAAGAAAAACAGCCTTCAAAGCATTTTTCAGAATCATAGTGCTTATGAAGTGGTTTAGAGAAACTAAACTCCTGATGGATTAATCATTGTGATAACAAACCAGGAACAACTTACAAGTAATGAAAGGATGGTGCTAATTCTCTTGACCGCGTACAGAACAGACCACACAATATCAGGCTACAGCATCCACCGGGAAAGCTGAGGAGTGGGTGCCTGTGATATTGTATGCTACACATACCATTTCCAGCACTCATAACAGACAGAGACACTTCATGTACACACGGCCTATGAATGTCCATTCCTCTTGACCAAGTCCTTCTGTTCAAACATAAAAAAGCGGGAGCCACATTTTGAAAAAGAAACCCTATCCTTCCGTTTCTTACTACTTCATCCAAATATAGTGTCAATGGGGAGCTGGAGGCTATCCTGGCAAGAGAGGAGCACAATGGAGGGTATAACCAGGATAGGATCCCCGTCCCATCACAGGGCACACAAGCAGATACAACACACAGACACAACCATGCACTCACTCACATCATGACCACTTTCCCAGTAGCCATTTGACCAATCAGTATGTTTTTGGACTGTGGGATGAAACTAAAGCACCTGGACAAAACCCACACAAACTCCATGTACTGTAGATAGCACCCCTGGTGAAGAATTGAACTCGAGGCCCCAGCACAGTGGAGCAGCAAAAATAACCATTGCGCCATCATGCCACCTGAAAAGACACTCTTGACACCCAATCATCAATGGAAATTAATTACTGTATCGCAGGTAGCCATCACTCTTTGTTGCTTAAAACAGATTAAAAGAAATATCTTAATGGCAGTGTAAGCACTCTGCAGTATTAAACAAAATGGCTTCCGTCCGTAACTGGTTGTCAGTGGAAGCTGTTTAATGTCTGATACAGCACTTGAATAGATTCCTAACTTCTTGTATATTAACTAGTTAAGACTAGGATTTTGTTATTTTATTTAAATGACAATATATATTTTTAATTTTCAGTCAATGAGAAGTATGTGTAGGGTGCCCTTATAGTATAAACATATGGTAAGTGCAAATGTTCTTGTCTGACTTGTCAGTTTGTTCATTTCATACTCTAGAATATTGCAATATGATATTTAAAGCAGGAGTGAAAATGCTGAGATGGCATTTAGTTTTTATAGATAACTTGAAACACATGAGTGAAGAACAGTTATGTTCTTTGGTGTGTAGAACAGAAACTACACCTGAGCCTGAAACAAGCCATCTTATACAGATTAAAATAGTTTCCATGTTTCATGTAGGAAGATGTCCTTTGATAATGAATGCTTGTGTCTGTATGGATGAAAGGTTGTTAATGGAATTTCTGTATTTTGTAAATATGTTATGCATTTAAGTTTGCTCTTATGTTAAAGATGGAAAATACCAAACGTGGTAAAAGTACAGTTTTGATGTTTTGCCAGTTCTGTTCAATATTTTCTGATGCTGCCATCATGTTTTGTGCATTCTTTAATGTGACTGACTTTCTAAAGCATACTCTTATTATCTTTTTTTATTGTACTATTCAGTTTTTATTGCTAAGACTTAACTTGGCATGTTATTCAGCTCTTATGCTACATTTCATGTACAGTATTTGAAATAGTGAAAAACATTTTTGAACTCAGATAACTGAAAGCTTTAGCAATAACAGGCAACAGTCCTGGAATTGACCCGTCTGCCTGTTAATTTTGCTTTTTCTTATTTCAAGTGGTTTAATATTTCAGCAACCTTTGCAACAACCAACAATTTTAAAAGACAAACTGAAAGATATCTGTAGTGTTAAGCAGGTTTGAAACTTACTTGGGCAGCTGAATTTGAATTTCACAGTGAATTTTATGCCAAATTAATTCATGTTTGAAATCTTTCCACTGTGCCTTTCAGGAAATTAGAATCTTGGTGTACTTTCCTCAAAATAAGACTTGTCCCTGTACTGTTCTTCAGAAAGCATATGCTGTTATTTTGTAAGGGCATCTTTCTTTATTTGAACTTTTAGCCTCTTGGTAAACTGAATTCAAATTTCCCCTTAGCAGCAGAGGAATTATATGTGTATCTTGCCCACAGAGGAATTCAAGACCTTCATCTGCTTTTTCTCACAGAGCGTTTTTCTCTTTTTTGGGGATAAAATGTCTGATATTCAGTGTTTTTGGAACTCTCAGGACTTTTGTCAGAACAGTACCTGAAATCTGTACTGAAAATGTAATTAGTGTTATTTTTTTAAAAGGAAACATTTTGGTAATACATGGCATGTGTTGATTCATAACAAATGACAAAATAAAATGGTCACAGCCATTTGGTTTCTGTTTCTCAGACAATAAGAGCTTTACAAACATGACAAATGCAAGGAAAAATAAACATGGAAACATCTTTTGGATATGGAAAACCTCATAAAAGTAACATTTGTCCTCATAAAAATGAAATATGTCTTAAAATTCTTGCATTCCTCACACTCTGTTGGAATGCGAGTTAAGATGTATCACCTAAACAAATCCTTTTTTCTAACCACCTTATCCAACACAGGGTCATGAGAGAGCCTATCCCTGCAACTAACAGACGCAAGCAGGGAAAACCCTGGATGGGACACTAAACTGCAGGACCACACAAATAATACCTTATACTTATATAGCGCTTTTCTGGAAACCACTCAAAGTGTTTTACAGGTAATGGGGACTCCCCCCCAGCACCACCAGTGTGTAGCTCCACCTGGATGATGCAACAGCAGCCATAGTGCACACAATACACTCATCATACATCAACTATCAGTGGAAAGGAGAACAGAGTGATAAAGCCAATTCCTAGCCTAAAGGGATTATTAGGAAGCCATGATTGGTAAAGGCCAATGAGAATTTTGGCCAGGATACCAGGGTAACACCCTAACTCTTTTTGAGAAACACCCTGGTATTTTAATGACTGCAGAGAGTTAGGACCTCGGTTTACACCTCATCTGAAGTACAGCTTGTTTTTACAGTATAGTATGGCCATCACTATACTCGGGCATTAGGACCCACATAGACTGCAGGTCAAGAGTACCCCCTGCTGGCCCCACTAACACCACTTCCAGCAGCAACCTTAGTTTTTCCCAGGAGGTCTCCCATCCAGGTACTGACCAGGCTCACACCTGCTGAGCTCCAGTGGGCTGCCAGTTTGAGTTGCAGGGTGATATGGCTGCTGGTAATACATACACACTCATGCCAGGTTCATTTTTACCAGAAGCCAACTAACCTGCTAGCATGTCTTTGGACTGTCAGAAGTTATCATAGCACCCAGAGGAAATCCATGCAAACACAGGGAGAACATACAAACTCCATGCAGATAGAACCTCCTGGAAGTGAACCCAGGACCCCAGCACTGTGAGGCATCAATGCTAACCACTGCACCATTGTGCTCACCTAAACCTCTGATTCTTAAACCAGGTTCTCGGTCCTCTATTTCTGCCGATTTTTATTCCAACTGAGCTCTAATCTTCATAATGACCTTTATTTGCTCTGCTTGCTTGTTGAAATGTACACACCCATTTCTTCATTCTGTCATTGGTTTAAAAAATGTTAAACTTTAGCATATTATTCCAACAACTTTAGCATAGATCACTATGATAGATCAATGTTGAAAGAGACTGTTCAAAAGGCAATATTGCCCATGTGCTTCATGGTGAAGTCACAATAACCTTTTCAGTCTTTATCACATCTATTTTGTTTTTATACCAATTGTGTAGGTATTTATCGATGGCCAGAAAGAAAGCAGAAGGCTACAAAGCTAGTCAACAAAACTAATTACCTGATTCAATTGCAGACAAAATCAGATACTGTTGCTGCAATTGCTGCAGGTAGAATCAAGGCTTAAACTAAAAAAGCCTTAATGAGAATTTATGCTCAAGGGCTATGGACCTTTGCTCCTTACTTATGCTTCCTTTGCTGGATGCAATTCATCTCTTTATTACTATAACAGCTTTCTTACTGGGATATCTAGAGTACTGAGTTACAATACAGTAGGTCCACAATTCTGCAGTGAGCTAAGAAACAATTCTGCATCACTGCCATCTTCTGTAAATTACACTGACTCCTCCTGACATTTAAAGTGGGTTTCAGGTTCCTCCTGCCCCTTTATTGTTATTGCCTATTGGATGAACACAGACAGATTCATGATCCAAAATCTTCCAATTCATGCTTCTTACTCTACTGAAGGCCAGCCCCCATACAATGTGCAAAATGAGCAGTCTTGTGTGTAGATCCATGGCTGTCGAGCACACCTTCCAAATCTATTAGACTCTCTGTGACTGCTGCTTTTAGAAAGTCCTAATCTTTTCATTAGAGATTTTAGTTTTTAGCTTTCCTGGGCCAGTTTGCTGAGATTTCCTTTTTACCTCTTTGGCAGAGCTAATGGTGGGGTCTCCTAATGACCTTTTTAAGTAGGTCAGTCTAGGAAAATCAGACACAGACACATCAGTAAAGGAAAAAAAAAACAGTGCTCTTTATCTATAGTGTGAAGAGAATAAGCCAAAAACAAAACAAGGTCTAGCTCTGCCTTTTGAGCTCTAACTGCACTTTTTCAGCCCTTCCTTATAAACAAGTAGCTGGGTGGTTAAGCTGCTTACCAGGTTCACAATGAGGTCTCCTCAAAAATTCTTCTCAAAACTCTTGCCCAAGCTTCAATCTCACACCAAGATTCTTTAACAAAAACTCACGTTTCATGAGCCTGACTCCAGGGCAGTACATAACTTAGGCTGCAAATGCTTTCCCAACCAGCACATGTCCACAGCCAACCTGGAACCCCTCTCCCTTTCTGGTTTTGAATGTCAACCAACCAATTGTCTTCCTTCTATTGGTCAGGTGACAGAGGACATCCTACAATGGGTTGACCCATTGCTCTCTGGGGAATGTGGTTCAGACAGTGATCTCCATCGTTTCTGGACCTATTGTGCTCTCACACTTCCTATTACTTTATTTATATGTCTGTACTATTGTACAGCTCTCTGAAAAGTGCTCAGAAATGACAAAAATACAAAAATCATATTTTTATAAAACAGGAATCCTATATCTTACATTTTGCTACATTAACTGTACATACTGTATGTCTTTATGGCCTTTACATTTTATTCTTCTGTATAAATGCCATTAATATTATTTGACCAATTTGATGTATATATTACATGCTGAAAAGCAAGCAATTTGTCTTGGAAAAAAGTGGCAATATTTGCAGAGAACTACTGCCAGAAAGCAAGCTAATCATGACGGATTAAAGCTGCACACATTCTCCATGAATTGTGACAAGCAACAGATGTTCTTTAATAATGTTTATCACAGAGACCTTCATCCCTGGACAGGACACACCTGTTTCCATTCAAACAGAACCAAAAGGGCAGTACTTTGATGACAGCTCTGGGTGGTCACTCCACTTTATCTTAGGTAACCACTGTTAAGAAAAATTAAGTATCTTTAGTACTTTTTTCCTAAATGCCCAAGACAGGCCTTTATAAATCCACGACAAAGACCGATTTGTGTGCAAAGATGTGTAATTTCTTGTCTAAGTCTTGATCCTAATACCATTGCTTTTGAAACAGTGCAGACGAAGCCAGAGCAGATCACAAATCTGTTAAACGTATCCTTGTTCTATTGCTTTGGCTTCTTATTGTCAAGAAAACAAAAACGGCATATCTTCTGCTTTGAGTAGAGAGTCCAGAAAAGCACTATAAGTGTAATTAATCATTAAATGATTCTTCACCCCTGGGTAGGGCATAAAGAGCTACTGTAAAAGACGTAACATTTTAAAGTGGTAGAGACCTCTCTATGAAATTATGTCACAAAAAATATTGTTATACGTTGAATTCTGCTAATGAATTGGAATTATGTGGCAATTCTGGCATTTCTACCTCCCTAATCACCACCCTGCCAGTCTGTCAGCTTAGTTGGCCATATTTAAGTGGTCATATTTATTCTCATTGACAGAAACCCTTCAGGCTCCTGGCGTTTTCATTGGTCCCCTCTCAGAAGTCTGCAGGTTCTTGTGTTTCACTCTTCTTCTCTTGGGGTTTCACTCACATCTTTCATTAACTCAAACCACTTCACTAATATAGTCAGGCAGTAAAGTACTGTATGTTACCCAACCCACCCAGTCACTAAACCATAGGCTTTTTCTTCATTTGTCACTCAACTCATCCTCATTTGTATGCTTTTCATAAACAGCCAGCCACTCTTTTCAATTCAAGCTGTACTGGCTGATCCTGTTTAGCCAGGGACACCTCCGTCTTCATTTTACTTTTGCCCCTGACACAGCAGAATTGTTATTCTGTAATACGTCCCTCACTCTAAGACTGCCTGCTGGTAGTAAGCACTCAGGACTCCAACCTTCAGCTGTGCCATCTGGACTCCCTCTCTCAGATGTTACACTTCTACCTTACCATGTAATGTCACCTGGAGGAGTGGGACAACACTGCCCACTTTAGGTGGCCTATCCTGTTCCTTGGCAGCATACTTCAACCTCTTTGAGCCTGGCAAACAAACCTCCCAACACAGCCCACCTGTCCAACCCTTTTGATGTCCCTCTGTATAGCTGAATTTTATACACATCCCTCACTTACTGACTCAATCTCACAAGCTTTCAAAACAGACCAATTCATTGCTACTGAACACTCCCACTGGAGTCTAGACACTGGCTATAACCCACTTCCTCCTAGCTGTCCTTTTATACACCTTCCAACTAACCCAGAAGAGCAGCCAATTCCACACAGAGCCACACATATCTGCTCCTCTCCCTCATGTGGAATCTCAATCCCTGTTGAAAGCAATTAATGCAGGTGTATCCCATTTTATCCTGCCTTTTCTTTTTAATGGCTGTCTTTCTACAAAATCACTCTTCTCAGTCCCTCAGATTATTGATATGAGCTTTTTCTCTTTTAATAATTTTAATCATTTAATTAAGATCAAATTTGCAGTGATGCTCCATTAAACAGTAATAATACATTTAAGAAATACCTCAGTTCATTAAAAAAAATTAATATTTAAAAGTTCAGATTTCCCAGATAATCCTCTCTGATATTCAGCTCTTGTTTAATAGTACTAATTGACCTAATTGACTAACTGACTAATTGACCCTACTAAATTTAGTCTAGAAATCTTCTGCCTAAAATTGTATCATTTTCATGTAAACACACTATTTAAATTCATTTGTTTTGATGTTATGATCTTTATCAGTTCTTTGGTGGTGTTCATTTGTTAAAGTTTGTACTTCTTTGACATAAAAATCTAAAACATACATATCTCAAGCATTTCAAGAACACTGTCAATTCATTAGTGGGAGCAGAAGTTTTTTTACATTTCCTGAAAGCTGGTATGTTTTTACAGTCAGAGGAAACTGGAACCTTTGGTTGGAAGCACATAAAAGGAGATTTTCAAGGACATTACCTGGAGAAATGCTGAGTTAGGGTGAGAAAAGGCATACAAAATCAAATTATTAATACAACATCAATATATACAACCACTGCTAAAGTTTCAGCAATGAGACCTTTAACCTCACTGAGACTCCCATGATGACAACGGACTGATGGAATTGCAGGGAGTCCTAGGCTGCCCTCGGGATTAGCCAATCACCTGTTGCTCAAGAGCAGAGTACAATCAGAATTTGGCCGTGAGATGGGCCACCTACAGCCCTGCTAGAAGGCACCCTGAACATGATCCTCTGGCTGTCCCTCCTAGGGTAGATATTGTACTAACAGGAAAATGGGCATTCTCCTGCTGCCCTGTTTTAAAATAACGTGGTCACCATTCTTACCTGCTATCGTAGTTCGCCATGTCCGCCATGTCCGTCCGTATATTTTTAACTGCTAACGATTTGCTGACTAGCCTTTAGAATAAAACTTTGTATTTTATATGGGCTTTATTTTGGCATCTCATCTTGTTTTAGAATGCTGTTGCCCCCGAATTAGCACTTCAGCACTGTAAAGTCAAAATGTATTTTTATATGTTGTAGTTTTTTTATTAATAAGTATTCAAATTTATAAAATACAGCGTTTATAAATTTAAAATAATTCAAAGATGGTGTTGCATTGATTTTATTAGATGTAATTTGTGCTGTAACCACCAGATGGCAACAAGTGAAAATAATTTGAACGTTCACATAATTCATAGTTAACTACAAATGCCTGATCATTCATCAACAAGGTAACGTTAAATAGGATTTATAAACCGCACTCCAGTTAAATAAAGATTTATAAACTACACTCTAGTTAAAGTATTAGTCTCAACTGTTACATAAACAATTTAAGTATACTTTAAATTCTGAAGTACGGATTTAAAAACATTTTATAGTTAAAGCAATTTTGAACATGACAAACAGAATGAAAAATAATTCCTTTCTATAGTGATACATTTCGGTGCCTATAGAGCACTTTTTGTGAGCAAATATAAATAAACACTTTATTCTTTCATTTTATTCTTCAATGCTCTCCCTAGAGTGCACCAAAGAGATAAACACAAAAATTGTATATTAACAAAGAAAGTGTAGTTCGGTAGATGCACACTTAGAATGTTCTAGAAAGAAACAGTTTTTTTTTAATTTTCTCAAAATTTGGTGTTTTTCAAGAAAACCTGCAAGCACTAATCCCGCAGTGTCTATTTCAAAAGAGAATAGAAAACAGATGCACTTAAACATTAAGTCATTTCAAGTTTAACCTTCTTGGAAAGACAAAAAAAATAGTTTTAATGCATTTCTTATAAAGTTACTTTGAGATGTTATCAAGAAATAATCAGTACCTTTTCTATTAAACGATTGTTCCAGTTCTTTTTTTCAGGTTATACCGCCCCCTGGCGATTTTTTCCATACAAATCGTAGTTACGTTTAAAAAAATACTTCTGGATTGATTCATTGCAAGTTAATTTATATACAATGAATCTTTTACTGGTGAGGACAATGTACACTTATATAACAAGCTGTGTTTACACACCATCTCCGTAAGTTATGAAAGTTGGAGTTCATAAAAGAAGACAGTAAAGGTGTCTACAGGTAGAGGGCAAGGGGAAGAATGAGGGGTCTTTCTAATGGCATTAAAACCCTCATCTTTGGCACTTTTTAATATACCCAAGCATGAGTCAGTCATAAGGGCCATCACAGATCATTCAAAAGTACCCACACTGTGTGGGTGCCAAGTCAGTCCCATAAAGTGCAGCTGCTTTATTTCTGATGAATATGGTTGGAGTATTGTATCTGGTGACAGATGTTTCAATATGTGCTACAACACATGTGGCAGGCAACTGGTAGCACTGAGTATCAGCACTGTAATGACACCTAATTTATTCTGACCAGATGCCAGCTCCACTATTAGCTAATGCATCGGGGCTTCAGACCCTTTAAGCTCTGTCCTCTGGCGAATTCGAAAGCTAGATTATTCAGCCCCACCCTGTAAACTACAATTAAAAATTCCACTTTCAATTCCAAGATTTCCCATTCAACACTTGTAAAAAAATCAAAAAGACAGCCTTTACACAAAAGGCAAGCTTGCGTCCAACAAAGGGCCAGCTGCTAATTGTTTGACTTAATGAAGCTAATTAATTTGCCCCAACTGCATTTTACATAAATGAAATAGTCCGATCAGGCTACATGCTTTAATCTATATTGATCGAATTTACTGGTAGTAATTAGTCAGCTGCCCAGCTGTCAGCCTGCGCTTTTCTTACCTATTATCTCCTGCTTTCCCTAGTCACCACGGTAAGCTGTGAAGTCTTGTACCTGAAATTTCTTAGAATGCGAAATAGGGATGAATTTTAGATTGCTGGCTGAGAAACTCTCGTGTCAAAACAGGGGGCCACAATTCAACATACAAAACAAAAAGAGTTTAAAAAGCCAATAGGCAAAAGAGGAGGTCATGGTTTATTCTGAATTCTACACTCTGTGATCTGAAATAAAAGCAAAATGTTAGAGAATGGCTCTTTGTATTGCACTTCTTACTTGCATGTCATCATTGGACGAGCTGTTGTCCTGGATATTCTGTATGACATGGGAAAACTGTACTCAATACAGCAAATGACTTTTTTTCAAGTGAAACGAAAAAAAAAAACTACTGGAGATTAAACATTTAGCTATTATAGGAAACTGCTGACAGCAGATGCAAGCCAGCAGTGTCTATACAGGGAACCTGTTGACCCTCTGCCTTTGAGCAGCCAGATGTTAATGAGCCATGCTGTATCTTCAGCTGAAGCCCATTTCTGCACGATTATCACCTACGGTGAATCCCAGCTTTGCGTTTCTTCTTACAGCTGACCTAATCAAATCCGCGCTGCCTGCTGGGCTGGGCAAAATGACGGGCATAAAGCTAGCCATGTTGGAGAGATCCATGACATCATTTAAGATTTAAAAAGTGGCCTTGCGGGCAAGGCTTCTTGGGTCTTTTTTCCACTGACACTGCCATCACACTGACAATGCAGGCTGCTTTTGTTTGTGTTTCATTATTTTCTAGGAAGACAATGCCCGCCCACATGCTACCAGAGTGACACAACCATTCCTTTGGAGTTGTGGAGTCAATGTCTTTGATTGGCCTCCAGGATCCAAACCCTATTGAGCACTTGAGCGATGAGCTAGGTCATCACATTCACCAACCTCATCCATCACCAGCAAAATGTTACAGAACCCTCCACTGCTGTTCTGGCAAACAGAGGCAGCATTCCTCCAGAAATGGCCCTCAGCCTCCCCAGTACATACAATCCTGGTTTAATGAATATAATGAGAACAAAGGGACAAACTTCACTTTGACATTCCATTAGCTTTTGAACAACTTGCAAATCCTAGTGGGCTTTGCTTCCAAAAAAACATCGATTTACACCAACAAGGGTTGTTAAAGCAAACAGTTGCTTTCACTAAATCAAGGGGAAGAAAAAAATACTTCTACCCATACGGCTAGTTTATTACATGCATTTTTTTTAAAAAGCAGAAAACCTCTGTTACTGCTTTACACTGCATTTGCAGAGAAACACTGTGTATCAGTCAGCAGGGATACTATAGTAATGTTGTGCTAGGCTGTTTCACAAAACAATTTACGGCTTTTTCCCATTAACATTCCGAATGCTCTTTTTGCTTAATGATAAATCAGGAATTCTACCAGAGGCCCAGACAGCAGATAAAAGCCAAAGAAAACTGCACAGTCAGCCCACATTTGTAGTCCTTTATTTCTTTTAATTGCTCCTCCCATAGTATTGTATTGAAATGCATTACAGTTACATTGTACAAAGCATTAAAACAAAGTACCTCAACTTGCTGATTATTTTAAAATGAGATTATAAACAAAACAACACAAAGAAACCTGGTCCCTCATCACAGGGAAAAAATAAACGCATATAATCTGTTATTTTATTATAGGTTTGGCACACTTCATTTTACAAAGAGGATTAACATGAACAGAACATCACACAAGCTTGCAGACAACCAGTAGAAAAAAAAATTAGGTACAGTTCTAATCAGAAGAATCATGCTGTTATGAAGAAATAATACCTGCTATTTTTTATTTTTTACAATTGAATCAGTAAATCGTAATACAAAAACCCTAATATCTATTTAATCAACCAGTCTCAATAAAAGAATAAAGAGCGAAATGAAATGTTTAATACTATCTGGCACTCATACATATTCTACAAACCCCATTTACTTATGAATTAGGCCCACCGAAGATATCATCTTTGGGTGGATTGGAACAGTGCTATTCAGTAAACAAACTACAGTTTGTCAAGAAATAAATACAATTCTGAACATACGCAGCAACGACAATAAAAGAAAACATGATTGTCTAAAAATCAAACAAAAATGGAAAACAAAGTAGCTAACAACTACCATTAAGACTATTTAGTGGTATCTTTGAAAAAAAATGCTTTTGACTTGAATGGACCCTTAATTGAGTGACAGGCTTCAGCACTTGTAATTCATTGCATTCTGCAAAAAATTAACAAGTCGTGGTTTTCCATTAAAAAAAACAATCTTACACAGATGAACTACACAATGATACAATGGAATACAAAACAGAACCTTTTTTTTTTCCTAATAATTGTAGACAGTGCTTAAATTGTGCAAGAACACACAACAATGTCATTTCTTTACTTATCATACAGGGATTTATCTTCTCAAACGTCTTGTTTTAATGGAATCGGCTTGCAGTCCATTGGTATTGCACTGCATACCAAGTTGCCTGACTCTTCACCCTAAACCTGTTTTTTCCAGCAATGAGAGGTGAAGAAACTTCAGGCACGTTTTTTTATTTCACTCCTCGGAAAACAACTAAAAAAAAAAGTTAACCCTTCAGCAGGTCTATGCCTCTGCGCTGTGCCAGAGCTTTTTGCATATGTAGAGCTACAGTCCTCGTAAAGGTTAAAGGGTATTACACTTGAAATGCACAAAAATATATATGTATATAAATGGAACAAATGCCTTCCTACCACTGTTCTTTACTGTACACATCGGATTGGATCCACGTGCTCCTATTGGCACATACCCCCTTGCCAAATCGCTAGGAAATGGAAGACTCAAAGCTTGGCAGGTTTTGTGAACACGCTCTACGAAACTGCTTTAATCTCACATTGATCTTTGAAACCAGCAGCTGCCCTTGCTGTGCAAAACGGAAACTTGACAGAATAAATACAGTTATTATTATCATTATTATTATTTAATCAATTTAAGGTCACAATGCTGCTTCTTCTCTTTTTCTTTCTTTTTCTTTTTAAGTTTTGGAGCGGGGTGACCCTGGAAGTGGGTAAGGCAATCTGCTCAGCAGTCTTTAAATAGTCCCGTGTGAAAGGTCAGGGCGAGAAAGTGGACTTGGTCCCATTCCGTTCAGGTCCGGAGGCGTCATACGTGGCTGAGGGACTGGAGGGCGCTGGACTCGGCCGCAGCCCTGGCCATGCTGTGCCACATGTTGGCGGGAGTGTGAGTGGGGGGGTGCAGGGCATCCTTGTCTGCCAGTGACAGCATCATGGCGTACGCCTGGGGGGAGAGGGGTGATTAATTAGCCGGGCTCCGGCCACCCTGGCGTCTGAGCAGGCTCGATCCTCACGTTTAAAAACAGTCACTTCACCTCAGTGATGCGGGGTGGGAAGAGACAACCACATGGATTTTACCAGCAATCAAATCTAATGCATGAGCAAACACCAGCAAGTGATGTAATGTTTCCTTTATTTTGCTTGAATTAGAGATATCCGATAGGCATAGGATTCTAAGGACACAAAGTGCTTTAGGTGGACCAAAGTCAGAGATAAAAAACTACTGCACAGGTGTCTTGTCCAGTGTGTAATCTGCTTTGCACCTTGTGTCAGACTGGTGTCCTGTCCAGAGTGTGGTCCTTCTCTGTGCCCTGTGCTGAACTGGTTTCCTGTCCAGCGTTTATCCTGCTCTGTGCCCTGTGATGGACTGGCGTCCTGTCCAGCGTTTATCCTGCTCTGTGCCCTGTGATGGACTGGCGTCCTGTCCAGCGGTTACCCTGCTCTGTGTCCTGTGATGGACTGGCGTCCTCTCCAGCGTTTTACCCTGCTCTGTGCCCTATGATGAACTGGTGTCCTGTCCAGGGTGTGGTCCTGCTCTGTGTCCTGTGATGGACTGGCATCCTATCCAGTGTTTACCCTGCTCTGTGCCCTGTGATGAACTGGTGTCCTGTCCAGGGTGTGGTCCTACGTTGTGCTCTGTGCTTCTGGAATAGGGCTTTCGCTGCTTTGAAATGTACCAGGAATTTATGACTTTCTGATCATGGACGGATGTATTTGCTTTTAAAATAAAGCTGCAAATCCAGGCTGCCTGCCTTAAGACACATACTGTGTTATGCTTTTATGACTCTATCGGGTCTTCACTGGTCTTCGTAACCTTACCTGTGATTTCGACTTCCTGTACAGTGGCTGTTTGATGGCTTCTGGCAGGTGGGCGGCACTGAAAGCTGCGATTTCAGCATCGTTGTACTCGTTCTCTTCCATCTTGCGCATGTCTGTGAAGTGCCTGATGTGGTCCAGAGCAGAAAACCCACTTTTGTCTTCCTCCTCCTCCTCCTCTTTATACCTGTCAAAGAAGACCAGTCAGTCCGTGAACACTCATACACCACCAGGGGCAGAACAGCTGGCTGATAACCAGTGACACAGTGACGCAAGGTTCTGTGGGCCGATTTCCAAGATCCCCTGCATCTTCCCATTGCTATTTGCAGATATAAAGCATGAAAAATTAGAATATTAAAGTCTAATTCCCTAAGCCTTACATATAAATGCATTACAAATCCCCCGTTTATTCTCAATACACGTAGGACAGATTCAATTTAATTATTAGTTTTCTTCTTTAGTCCTGATAGTTTAGCATAGCCTCCTGTTGATCAACTCCGCTGGCCACTATGATGGCAGCCTGGAGCTAACTGGGGAGTCCCCTGACAGGCCTTCTCTCGAGCCCACTGCCAGCTGTGAGCTACACACCGCCTTAAAAAGACAGCTAGTGGCAACTGCAGGAGCAAAGGCCCTCTCTCTGAAAAAACTGCAGGTTTCTAAGGCAACGTAGAAAATCTGAGTTGAAAATCTCTGGAGCCCTTACTTTCTTTTATTTTATTATTAAGGGAGTCCCTACCTTGCCTTTGTGATTAAAAGCTAAGCACTCATTTAGTACTGATAGGCTAATACTGATTTTGAGAAAAGAAATACTCATGGGCATTTAAAATACCTTCTAGGGGATGTCTTGCAGTTCAGTGCCAGGTCATTGGGTCCCTCAAAGTCAATGTCATCATGGATGATGTCATCGTCCATGTTGCCTGGCAGTGGCTCGTCCCCAGATTTGCCTGCAGTGTCGCTCTGCTCTTCCTCCTCCTCCTCTTCCACCCCAAGGTCGTCCTCTACTTCCTCCTCCTCCAGGTCACGGGACTCCTGACTGGGCAGCGGCCCCTTCTCCTCTTCAAACTGGCTTCCATTAAGTCTGGTCGGAGAACATAAAACACCCTTAAGCCCATGGAAAAATAATCCTTCTCGCACAAGTAAAAAGATGGCAGTTTGTTTTTAATAAAAAGCATACACTTAAATATGATATTCTAATTTTAGCACTTAGGAAAGTGATGGACGGATAATATTTTTTATTATTCATGTACTGTATTTGATGATTTAAAAGAATGTTATATACTTCCACTGGTCTAGGCCCCCTTTTGTTTTATTATTAAGGCTAATTAATTAACTATGGTTTTGAGATAAAAATGAATAATTTTATATTACTGGTTTCAAGAAAAATGGAAACAATATAACTCAGCGTACTTGAAGTAATTACTTTATGATATAGCTGGAAGCAGTCTTCCTTCTTTCAAGTGTGACTTAAGACTCAAGGTTAATGTGCAGTGCATGAACTGAATATGTTCCGAGAGCTACACTCCAGTCTCGGCACTCAGGTCCCTGCAGTGGTTCTTTTTTTAGCAGTGAGATCACTATTTAAGACTCTCGGAGTAATAATGAAGTTCAGGTTCTTGCACCGCGCCTCTCGAAATCTCAGTGCGTTTCAGACGAAAACACCGCCACCAGCCAACAAACCACATACATCATTTTGCTGTTGAAAAGCTGCACTTATTTAATTCTTTCACTGTTGTGTCGGAGCAGTGGAGTCTGGGCCAAAGTGAAAAATGGAAAACTCAAGAAGTCGCAGCCCTAGAGAACCGGAATCCTGTTTGTCATCACAAGCTGAAGCCTTCTGGACAGAAGGGTGGTCAGCAAATAGCTTCAGTACTTACTTTGCTTGGGTTTGTGTTGTTTATTTTTCTATTATCTAGAATTCATCTAATAGGCAAAATATTTAGCTGACAGCCCCATTTGGTTTAAGAGTTATGAGAGCAGTGCCAACCAGCCCATTTCCTAGTCCCTTAGGAACACACCACAGCTATCAAAACTCACAGTGACTTAATCTATCTACTGTCTCAGTTCTACAGGAAACCACTATTTGTTAAATCATCTGTAACCACATTAGGACTGAATCACTAATTATGGTCCTAGCCATCTATCGTCAGCTCTAAAAAATGCCCTTTTTGGTACACAAAGTCCAACTGCAACAACCCCCCCCCCCCCCCCCGCTCCCCTTCCCTTTAACATCCCTACCACAGAAACGAAGAAAAAAATCATCACAATTATCCTTCAGATTAGAATACCCATGAAACCAGGAAATGATCTATTTGAAACAGAAAAGCTGAGTTTGCAATGACTCGAAAAGTCTTTACTGCAAAGGAAGAAAGAATAATTGCCAAAAATAAAGTCACACAATGCAAATCTTGGCCATCTTTTATCTAAAACGTGATTATAATAGGACTTGGAGAGACATGAAACCTCACTTAGCTTGGGGTCAGACTGCCAGCCTAGTAGTTGTCCCATACCAAGATTGTCAAGGATCGTGGAGAAATGGACTTGAACCAAACTCTCCAAAGCTCAATGATTAAGAAAACAGATTTGCTAATTATGCTTTCAAATGTGGTAATTTGCTGGGGATAAAATATCTATCAAAAGCAGTCAGAAGTGCATGGCTTTGAAAGGAAACACTGGCCAACCTCTTGACCTTGTCTTTTTACCATCTTCCTGTCGTGATACATGTTGAGGCCAGATGTTGCACAAAAGCACCAATCACACAACAGAGAGGAAAAAAATGCATGTTTAACTATAATTTATTTAATCAATTTTCTTCATGCATTTCTGATGTTTACATCACTATACCAAAATAAATATCAAAAGAACCTTATGAGATTTCTATCAGTTTAATCTTTTTGATCTGCCACATAGGCGTGCAAAATGTGGACTACAAAATTATGCAGAAAATGCTGCCCCCTTTATCAAGAAGTTCATCAAGCTTTCAAAATTTCACATAATTTAGGCAAGATCAAAATATATATATATATTTATTTTTCCTTTTTTGAACAAGACTCAATAGTTATAAAAATTGTCTGCACATTTCCAAATGTTGCAATCATCTGAACTGTCTTAAATTGTGATTGTCTAAAATTTCCTCGGGCAACAATCTAATTAAAAAAAAGTATGAACAGCATAAAAAATGCTCTGGCCCGGCTGTTCATTATTCTGTGATGTTTGCATATAAATACTACACTACTGTAGCCCATAGTGCTAAATATTTGCATTGGAGAAGGTTTTGGTATGTCTCCTGTTTTGCAGGGGCTTGTACAGTACCTTTACATGCCATACAGATAAATCTCTCTTGAACAGCATCAGTAGCCATCACAAAATGATCTAATGACAAAGTGCCTATATTGCTTAGACAGAAAAAAATATTATCTATAGCTGCTATGCCTAGCAAAAGCCTATCCGCCTGGGTGGTCAGCTGACTAAAGACAAGATATTTGTATTCTAGACTTTGTGACCGCGTGATCCGAGTGTGACCAATATAGAGAGACAGACATATTCCTAGCAGGGCTATAGCATTGTCCTTCGCAGCATACTGAGACAGGGAAATTCATACACCGGGAAGATAAAAACTATACAAACATCCTCTGTATTGCTGGAATGTGGTAAGGTTTGAAAGCATTTCTCTTGTTTAAAGAAATAATACCACATAAGAAAACAACATGGCTCACCCTCTGAGTAAACTTATGCCTGAAATACTTATGGCACAGAAAGCTGAAGTTCACAGGCTTGTTTAGCTACACACACGGTAGAGTAGGTTACAAGAAGAGATAGTCACCCTTCTTCTGAATGGCCGGGGGAACGGTGGTTCTGGCTCGTATTGCCGATGAAGTTCCGTATCTCGTTGAAGTAAGAGTCCTCTTTGTCATCCAGTATAGCGCTGCTGCTGTCCAGTTCTGACTGAGGTGAGGACATGGCAGTACCTTGAAAAATGAAAGGCACATACTATTTAGCTATCTTACCTAGCAAAATTAAGAAAGCAAGAGGATCCTGGCATTGGCAGGCCAGGACAGAGCTGAATTTCAAACACATAATTTGAGCCATCTTCCCGAATGTCAGATTCCTTTTTGGCAGTACCAGGAGATTTGAGGCTTCAGGATTTCTCCCATGACACACAGAGACAGACCTATTCCAATCAAGTGTTATAGTATCCTAGTGGTTGTCCTCCGCGGCATAGTGAGATTTTAAACATTGAGATGATAAAATCTATACAAGCACTGTTTGAGGCTTCAATAAGAAAACTGCAAAAGGGTCCATTGCGACCGAACTGCTAGAAGGTCCTGGGATCAATTTTGGATGTTGGGAGCTCACAGATATTGCTTTGCCTTACCCATGGTTCTATGGGATTTCTTCATAGAACAAGTAAGACCGGTTTGATCGAAATTTTCAAATGCCCATACCGGAGTCCAGTCCCTATCTGTTCCCCATAAGGAAGGGAGCTCCTCTCCCTTCTTAAGAACAGTTCGGGTGCTGGCCCATGGCCAGAATTGAGATTGGCAGCACGTGTACTCGTCTTCATCTACTTCCAAAGCTCTACTTAAAAATCTCACCTGACAAGTTGCCATTCTCGTGCTTCTTCAGATGCCTGTCCAGGTTGGTCTGCTGACCGAAGCACCGGTCACACAGGTGGCACTTGAAGGGCTTTTCCTTGTTGTGGATGTTACGGATGTGCCGTTGTAGGTTGGAGGAGATGCTGAAGGAACGGTCGCAGTATTTACACCTGGGAAAGAAGGAGTGTCGCAGCTGAGTGATAAAGCTCAACGTGGCTTCCATTAGCACCTCCTACATTTAAACTCTGCTGGATGTGTATAAAAATGCAGTTTTAATGAAGGACACCATTCAATACAGTTTATGGACATTGGGGCTCACCTAGTTAAGAAGGATCAAGGAAATTTGGATTTGTTTTTCATGGACTTTTTATCAAGGAATACAAATATTTTCATATTTGTGTTGTTTGTTCTCTTTGACAATGCAAAGTAGACAAAAAGATTGACTGAATAAATGAAGACCATAGTCCATTGATAGTAAAGCTGTCAGTGACTCTGTAATACTAACACTGTTTTTCTTTCCCTACCTGAATTACATATAACTCGACGTTCCCGGTCTATTAAGTTATTTACAACAAGACAAAAAATGGGTATTCTCAAGACACACATCTCTCTGTGTTGTCTTGTGTTTTTGTTTAAATGTAATTTCATAATTAGCCGGCCTACATTTATCCCTAATTGGCTGCTCTTAATGTTCACACAGATGTGATTAATGAGCATTTCAAGGTAGAAAGCTGATTGTTTCATGTCCTGCCAATGCAATAAAATTAAATTCTTTTCTTACAAAATAAGCATGCAACAAATTTGTTCTAACCCTCTAAAATTAGACAGAAAGCCAAGTTTTTCCATGCAAAATTATACACAATGATTACATCTTTTCTTCTGCTAGAATTAGCTTGCTCGATTGCCTGTCCCAGAGGAAAGTCTGTTATCTTCCAAAAAAATTGCAATAAACAGTACAAATCTTTATTTCTCTGCCAACGTGTGCAGTTTAGTCTATCACACTGGTACCAGAGGCATCAATTTTCATACCCTATAGTCATTCCCTGTCTCTTGGGCCTTTACTGTATTTCTCTTAAAGCCGTTCCTCAGACAAAAAATAATTATTCCAACTACTCTTGCTGGAAATGTGCCGACAGTCCTCATCACCCCAATTTTTCATCTAACTTCCTCTTCAGGACTTCAAAACAGCTCTTGTCACACTGTGAACTGTGACCATTTTTCATCACCTAAATTATTTAGCAGAATGATAATTGTTTCAGGCTTGTACGCCATTGAAAAAACATACAAAACAGTGGAAAGTTCTCCTATAACCATGTAAAAAAAAAGCGTCCTCTAAAAACATCCTTGTTACAGAATCCCTTAATAAATGATATTTGCTACTAACAACAAAAAATACTTTTTATACAAAACAAGTGCTGGTTGGAACAGCATGTGGTAAAGACAATTTTGCTAAGCCATCAACACAGAGAACACACATACTAAAGTTTAAAAGGATCCCTTCCAAAGTCTGCACTACCAAAAGCTTATCCTGGGGTAAATGCTATTACATAAATATTAAAAGGCAGCTTTATCATACTAATTAAAATAACAATCCCACATTTATCACAAATTGAGATCCAATGTATATTGCCTCTCTCCTGAAAGAATACCTGTAAGGTTGCTCTCCTGTGTGAGTTCTCAAGTGGCGAGTTAGGTTTGCAGATCGTGGAAATATTTTTCCACAGTACCTATGGAAACAAGAAAACTCATTGAAAGGCACACACTGCCTGTATTTCCAAAGAACGTATTTCCCCGAATGGAAGAAATGAGTAGTGGAAGACTCAGTCTGACAACCTAACATTTTCTGCATTGTTTAAAAACAACATATACCTATAGGCAAAATGGGTATATTTAGACAAACCTGTGGTACATTCAGCCATACATATTCACAGATGCACAAATTTAGCATGTCTAAACGTGGCATTTATTAAGCTTTAAAATTTAAGTGTTACAACATAATAAAATTCTCATTTTCTAGATAAAATGAAACCAACTACTAGTTTTTTAGTTCTACTCATATTACATGACCAAATTAAAGGTGGAAGTGGGCGGCTTTGGGGCAGCGGTGTGCCCAAGTCCAGATAAATTCTGTTGAATCACCTTCTTCAGGAGATGGATTAAAACAGTTCGAACTACTGTTACATTCGGTTGCACCTTTTCTGATGAAAACTACACTTGTTGAAACTGCCCTGCAATTTTACCGTTTGCAATTCCTTTCTCAAATGAACTACACATGCGGCAAAAGCTTGTCTTAAGATGAAACAACTATTGATTGGGCTATTTCTTGACAGTGTTCCAGGAGTTTCATGGGTTTGATTTCATACGCGGCACAAATCACAACCATAAAAGCCATGGATGTCTGCTAGCACATTTTCTCACTACTGTAGTTCAACAACTGCGACCTCACAGCAACTCTTCAAGTCACCATTCCCTTTCTCCATTCCTGCTTCGAGTGAAACGTTAACTTTGTATTTATTTTACACACTGTTTAGTTCGAATTATACCGAATGGGAAATCAAAACAAAAAATTGGTGACTGCAACATTTCAACATGAAGATCACATCGAAGTAGATCAAAGCCAAAGCTATTCTCTAACAGTTTCTATTAATCTTCTAATCAGTGGTAATTTCAAAAGTAAACAGTGTGGTTCTGGAAATGCTAAGTGCAGTCTCCGATCAAGCCTGCTTTAATTAACTCGGTAATCACCTGCAGGTATAGCGCTCCTTGCCCTTTCGTAGAAGGCTCTCAGGAAGAGCGTTTGGAGGAGCCCTGAAGTCAAACATGGATGGGACAGACCGTATGAGATCACTGGCTTCTGGTTTTAGGGAGTTATAAGTCTCCAGTTTCTCTGCCATGTTTTCAATAGCTGACATCTGTGAAGAGAAACAGAAATCTTCAATTGTTGTGCGCAAAATGTGCAAATCAATCATTGCATAAGACTCTATTGTATTATTCTTGCATAAAAAAAAACAACAAATACAGTAGTAGTAGTGTTTTCTCCTCTTGCTAGAGGAAAAACTTAATTCCCTTTTTCCTCACACACAAAGACTCAAGTAAGTATTTGTTCAGGTTGCATTTTTCAATTGGCATTTCTTCATTGCATTGAATTTATAATAACCCTCTGCCGGATTTTTAATGACAAATAATTGATATTGGCAAAAATGACTAAGAAGTATCTTTAATAGCGTATATGCATGTTAGACGTGTAACGGAGCATTCAGCTTGAAAATGAAAAATTATCCAGATTTTTTTCTTCTTCTGTGAAACCCCATGTACAGCACATCAATGAGTCATACCAAGAGAAAAAAAAGGTCTGGCTCTGCATTGGAACTGTTGAGTTGTATGTGGGCAAAAAGTTATAAAAATATTCCTCTGCTATAAAAATAGGCCCCGAAACAAAAAAAACTGCTATTTCATTTTATTTCCTCCCTTTTCTCCGTCTTTGTTTTTGGAATTTCTCTGAGCACATCGCAGTCAGCCTTTTTATTTCCTGCCGCCACTGTGCTGCCATCTCGTCTTCTTACTCCCAACTCCTTTCCCTAGTTACAAATTGCATCGTACAGGGCACCATTGCCAATTTGCTAAAAGTCTTTCATCAAATATTGCAAAAATTCTCAGAGGAAAGTCGAGATGCATTTACTTGTCAAATGGTAAATACGAAAACACTGGAGGGCACTGAAGTCCATGGGCTATGGGGCTTGATTCATAATCACTCATAGCCTGTAAAACATTTTCCGCACAATGCGAGTGGACAGCACATTTGTCAATATGAAAGATGTTGACATTACTGATCAAAGGCCAGACATTGGTAATAATGATACAGCTGGGTTAGGAGGGAATTCTTGTCCCTACAGACCAATGCGGTTGTCAGTTTCTTCAGCTTTTTCACAGGGATACAAATTTGCATTATTTTACATGTCTGCCGGATTTTTTTTAATACAGCCACAAATCAATTGAAATTCAACGTGCCGCTCTATCCTGAACGCTCCATCCTGACCGGTCCTCCTGTCCTGTCTCCATCATTTACATGGTGGGCACAAATACATGAAAGAATAACTGATCAATGAGTGATGACCTTTGCCTGAAAAGCTGATTAGAAATGACAGCCCAGTGCAAAGTTCATAACGGAAACCATTTATGCTGAAAGTGAAAGGATACAGCTTTTGGAGGAGGTGAAGTGTCATTTTCATTTGATTATGATATCGTTAAGCCACCACAAAAAAAATAAAATCTACTGGAAAGGCTGCATGGTTTTTGTATACCAGTTGTTGAGATACCAGTGCATTAATATTTCTCATAAAAATAAAACCCATAAAAACATGTATTTCATTGACCCTTTTCTGGACCTGAATTATTGTTTTTGTACTGCACATCTCACTTTTTCGATATTACAAATTATTTCGGGAAGCATTAACAGCACCAAATGTATCAAGCTCTTTTCTGCATAATATGATCAGACAGTTCAGCTTAAAAGATTTAGAAAAAATGCAAGGCACCTATTACTGTGTTTTTTTCACATCATGGTCTGACAATGGGAGAATGTAATTTACATCTTTAAACCCTATGCAATTATATGCTTTTTTCACATGTATATGTATAATTTTACACATTAATAATCATCAATATATTTTGAAAGACAGGAAGTAGTAATGTGATAATCTGTAAGAAGAAAGTCAAAAGATGATAGTTCACGAAATCAAATCTAAAAGAGCAATGAAAAAATTATCCACGGCTTTTTAAAAGTACCGCAATTTGGAACCATTAGCCATGAACTTTACAACCTTTCAAGATTTCACCCTGTAAGGAAATGGTTTCTAATTCAGTTCTTGTCTGCATGAATTCTAGCTAGGCTGCACTTGAAGTTTTGCGTCAAGGCACGGCAGTGCAGTTTTAAATACAAGAAAAAATAAAGGCCGGTCTAGCTGTTATTTCTCATGGGCTGGCAAAACAAAAAGGACTCTAAGCATGCAGGCAAAGCACTCCATCTGAGGACGATCTCTGGAAACACGCTCAGTGTTATTATTACAAGGTCTATGTATAGCCTACTTGTAATCTGCTATCTCCAAATGACAGTGTCGCATAGTGTGGAGTAATTTGTGATATGCATTTCTAACTATTGTCGATCTTATCAGAAACCAGATGTCTGAAAAAGGAAACAATTTTACCCCCTCCTCCTAATCCCTCGGAGGCTATTAACCTGGTACTGACGCAAAGCAGCCTTTGGCCACAATTCCCAATTCATGTTTAAAAAAACAGAAACATTGCCTCCACTGGACAAAGCAAATGTTTATAAACATATCAGCGAGTTGAGGTATCGTTAACGGCATCTCAGCAATCATCGCGAGTCATTATTCAGCGGCATATCTGTGTCATAAACAAACACATCTCATTTTAACAGCTCTATTAAAGAGGAATGGCTCCTGCCCACATTCAGCGCTGGGTCATGCTGCTCTGCTAGACACTTGTGAAAACGCCCACTCCAATAATATTGGCAGGAGGGGGAGGACGATTCATTCGGGGAGAAGTGGTCAACTGTGGCCAAATGATGAAATCCGCATTTGTGTCAATAAGCCTGGGTGCCGCAAATTCAGATCAACTCATTAATATTTGCCGCTGGTACATTCTAGGTATGTTCTAGAAAAATCCAGATCTATATCAGCAGGGAAACTGTGGTAACTGGGAATACCCAAATATTAGCCAGTATTTGTTCATGTTTTGACTACTATGCATTTCATACTTGGTTATACTTGGTTATGACCATTTCTCCTCTATGCACACACACACAAATATAGATGCAAATGAATGCAGCTTTAATAAAGAACAATCATGCCCCTTTTTTCAGTTTTCTTATGAAAAAAAACTCAGTTCTCCCTCTCTAAAATGTCTCGCCTAATGATGATGAATGCGAATTTAGATCCCAGACTTAAACTCTCTCATTATCTACAATCTGTGTGACATTAATAAGCCGTGCCTCCTTTAAAAACCTCTTACATGTGAAAAGCATGTGTACAAAAGAGCAGGAGCAGAACAAAAATGCTCTCACTTCCCCACTCCACCAGAGGAGCAGGCCTCTTGAACAGGAGAGGAGGTCCCTACCTTCAAACAGCAATAGTCATTTTTCACATTGACAGACATTATATTATTCACATTATCGGCACTAGAGGTAATTCATTTAGCGGATCTCTTTTCCCTTTGGGTTTGCTGGTTCTTATGAGGACCCAAATGGACTTAAGAGGTTTTCCAGAGGAGGAAGACAAGCAATAAATAGGAAGGCTCAGTAACTCATCTGAATGACACAGGACACATAATGTACTGTACATGGGGAGGCTTCCTAAATAAAGAATAGCTCGGAGGGCGGGACCTCAGACATTAATCAGAATGCTAAACAATGATGGATTTGCTGCAACCAGAACAGCAGAAAAAAAAAACAGCCCTCTGTATATTTCAATTCAGTACGTGTCTTAAAAAAAGCCTGGTAGCTCATGCCTCGCGGAACACAAACAAAACTACAGAAAATTTACTGATACTGGGTTCAAATGTTATTCTTTTGGTTATTTATATGTTATCCTTTGGAGACAAAAATAACGTCTTCGAACTTTTCCTGAAAACACTCCCCTGCATTTCACATCTCAGGGCCACTTGGCTGTCCTGATCCGGCTCTGAATGCTGCAGATTAAGTGAATGCACATTGAAGATATCGATTTAATCATGAGTATAACTGTAAGTATCCTCTTTATGATCTCAATGAAGCATACAACATCCCCATCACCCCTTAAAACTATAACAAAAGAATAGTGCACAGATTTGTAGCTTAGGCTTCTATGTAGCCTTTTCAGATCATTCAATTTATTCCAAGATTTTAAGTTGTAACTTTTGTGATATTTGTGTTGCCTTCTCCATTGCAGATGTTTTTTTGTAACAGAAAAAAAAAAAACATCCTTCTTTAAGAATAAAATCAACTTTCTGCTTGGGTAAAACTAGATAAGCAGTGACTGGTATCTGGCAAGGTTAGTCTGTCGGCCTCCGGCTGACCCATGCATCACAAGCTATGCACCGTGTGCTGTCATGCCTGTAAGCAGGGTGGGTTTTTAATAAAGCATTTTAGAACATTCTGGACTTCTTATAAACTTACCCATGTTCTCTGATCGGGCAAACGAAACTGGGAGCAGGATTAAAAAAGAAATATCAATCAATACCAATAACTCTTCAGTGTAAGAATGTAGCAATAAATGAAACATGCAATATGGTAAGACCTGCACATGTTGTATATACAGGCTATGATGTTATAGTCAAGTCAAGTCATTACTATTTCAGCCTACGCCTTAACCTGTCGACATTTGCCTTCTTTTTTTTCACCCTCACTGTCAATTTGCGTTTCGTGACATTTTGTCTACAGACACCTTAATGAGTGAGAAAATGGCTCTTTGGAAAAGACTGCATCTTAGCATCATTACAGACCTTGATTACCTCATGCTAACAACACAAAGAAATTATTATACTTGCTCAGGAGAAGGAAGTCAAAAGGTCTGACATTCAAGAACTATCTACACATACTGGAGCCGAAAAGCATGGACTTGAATGACTAATTCATACTGCAATAAAGTAAAAACACAACATGTCTAGTAACAAACACTGGAAACTACAAACCAGGGCTTCAAATTCAGTGAGAGAGGAGAATAAAATAAAATCAAGGGGCTAATGGAGCTTATCGCTCAGCGTTCATGGCTGAAATGGTATTCCGGATAGGCAGCTGACTCATTAATTAGTATTAAAGGGACTCAAAGTACCGAAGAAACCGGAATCAAATCATTTGAAAAGTCATAAAATAGGGTTTGTTCCACATTTCAAGCTACATTTCTACAAAGCATTGTGCCTTTGTGTTTATACCTGTTTTCAACACAGATATTGAGTAACTGATGCTTTTGTGTCTGACTTTGTCAGCAAAGGAAAAGAACAATTATTCAGCAGTGATAATGTTATTGATCATCAGCAATGTGGATAAATAACATTAGATGGAATGCAGGGTAACGTATAAAAATCTACCAAAACTGCTATATTCGTGATGGACTGTGATGCTGTCAAGTAGGAGCCCAACACAGCTTCATGTGGATTTGATCATAAAACAGTAGTTCAGAGATATCATTGTTACTGGCCTCAGTATTGAAAAGGTTTTCTGCAGGTTAAATTACTTGTTCCGGAAAGAAAGTGATACTAAATGACACAGTGTGTGATGTACATTTAGCTGTATTGAGTTAAACAGTCTGATAAACAAATCAGTTCGTCCATCTGGACTGCAACGGCTGACGTAGATGTAGAAAGGGCAGCTAAATACAGTAAATGCAGTACTATTACCCCTTTCTAAAGCCATACATTGTCTTCGCAAAATCACCCAACAGAGCTCTGATAGCAACAGGGAGATTATAAAATATCAAATCTATCTTCGCCTGTCCGCATAGTTTAGTGAGGAACAAAGTACAAATTTATGAATGAAAAGGCTCGTAATGAGTATTGATTTTTTTCAGCTTCCACAATTATGGCGGCCACGAACAACAGAAGTCCTGAGCTTCGGATATGTTCATGGTCACCAATTGCCAGGCCTTTCTGAAAGACTGACAGCAATGAAGCCAAACGGTCCCAGCTGTACGGCTAACGCAAAGACCTGTCCAAACTGGGCTGTCACTGTGTATTTCACACAGCCCCCAAAGGCCATCACAACTAACCACATCTGATCGCTCCTGAGCAGGCACTGAATTGCAGCATCAAGTCGCAGGTTCAGAAGCTTCATATCCTATTATATCAGTATACTGTACTATGCCACCCTGTCATCGGCCTTAAAAGACCAACTGTATATTTCTCAAGCTATGTCGTACAATTTCTGCAACTTACCTGGGGGTGAAAGAGGAAGCCTGGGGCCGGTCTCATGTACTTGTCCTTCAGAGCTTCAAACGGATCGTTCATTTTCCTTTTCTCAACCCTGCTAATATTAAAATTCTTTCAGTTCTTATTTGCCAACAGCACGTGCAAAATAAACATATAAATAAGCGGCAGCTACAGCACTTCTCATTTTGTTTCCCATTGGAGTGCCTCAAAACAACAGGGTGGTTTTCCTCCAGTCTGAGAACAGCACTGCTTTTTTAGCGATCAAGAAAAAACGACTAAAACAATTTTCTTTCTCTTTGGCCGCTCTCAAAGGATTCTACTTTGACAGTCAGAAAATAAGTAGAAAACAACTCCACAACTTCCAACAATATGTTCATCACAACACGTTTCACCTACACTTTTAAATCCTTGAAACTTTGATGCAACAGGATGAAAGCATTTGCGCCATGTACTGCCTAACTATTTAAGAACAGTAACTCAATGTTAAAGATTCACATTACCTATAAATGGGATCCATGAAGAAAGGGGTTGGCCTGGCGTGTTGCAGTGAGGAATCAGGAGCTTTGGACTGATCGATATCAGCGGCTTGCTCCTCGCCAAACACGTGATTTTTTCTGGTCTCCTCGACTTTAGCTGTGATTGCCCGCCGACTGCTGCCCATGCTCAAGTCCAAGGGCTGGTCTTGGTTCGCTAACTGAGAAGCCCCTGCCTTTGAGCTAGTGAAGGGCGCTGGCTTCTCCTCCTTGCGCTTGGTAGTGAGGTCAAAGGGCGACTCAGAGTTCCTGCTCTGGCCCTTTTTGGACTCGCAGTTCGGAGATTGTGGCTCCATTTTTAGGGGAAGGGATCTCAAATCTCTTTCGGGGAAAGGATACATTGGTTGAGAGAAGGCTGGAAAAAATGGGAGGGGGAACATTGAAGGATAGGGCAAAGCCCCTACTTTTTTGTCCTGCAGCCCAACAAGTCCGGTGGAGCCAAAGTATTTTTCAGCGATGGACGCAATCGCCTTAATGGAATCGTTGACGGCCCCAGAGACAGCGGTTTGCTCGTCAAGGGCAGGGGGGAAGAGGGAGTGGTTGGGGAATTCCTTCTTACTGCTGTTCACGGAGGCTGTGTTCGGAAGACTGCTCTTCTTCCCCACTGGAGCTTTGCCATTCTCCTTGTTTTTCTCTTTGTCACTATCCAGGTCGCTCTCCAGATCCGAGCCAGATGTGGTCTCCAGGTCACTCCCGCTGGGGGTGCTGACATCGTCCAGATCGCTGCTCTCAGATTGGTCACTCATTTTACCGAGGGGCCTCTCCTTGGAGGAGATCTCAGTCTGATGCACCGCCCCTCTGGTCTCATTGCGGGGTGACAGTTTGCTCAAGGACTGAAGTATGTCTGGGGCACCTGTCACCACCTGTGGGGGTGTCAGAAGAGGGCTCTTGCCCTGATCTGTACCTTGAGGCCCTTTCACTGGAGAGCTAGCAATCAGTGGTGGCCTGGGATAAAGTCCAGAAGGAAACAGACTGGGGAAGCTGAAGGGAAAACCAGGGGCTGCCGGAAAGGTCAACCCACTGTGATGCCTGTTGGCCCCAAAGTAGTCAGCCAGAGCCGGGCTGCCATGGCTGATGTTACCCACGGTGGCTTTGTCGAGCGCTGGTGTACCCGGAAGAGAAATGCCTTGACCAAATAATCCCCCAGCAGCAAAATGGTTCTTCCCTTCGCAGAACCGCCTGTGCTTGTTCAGAGACGAGGTGGTACTGAACATCTGTCCGCAGTCTTTGCATTTGATCTGAGTTCTGCAGTCAGCATGCATTCGCTTGTGGCGGCAAAGGTTTGAGAACTGAGTGTAGGACTTGTGGCACACTTCACCTGCGTTCACACAAAAACAGAAACAACTTCTTCAGGCAGAAATATTAAGTCTGTGACCTAACATATGAAGCACTGCAAACAAGTAGCTAAAGGCTAATACAGTATACAGACCGTATATCTTTGGAAAGACATTATGCACGTTCTGTTGAAATTCATCTGAACCACTGTGTAAATTATACAAACTGGGGAGTCCCAAAGTCAGTTGAAGACGTCTTCAGTTCAGCAGAGTATCTTGGCCTTTTTCAATCACTTTAGCTTAATATGTAAGGAAAATGATTAAACTAGTCTAATCCAGCTTTCTCCCAAAGTCGTTAGTTTAAAAGAACTAGGAAACCTTTAATTGGGGCCCCTCAATGACTTGGATTGGAAAGACTTAGAGACTTCCTGTAATTGAAGAAAGGGACTGAGTGCACCTTTAGTGTCAGACACAGCATTTTGTTAAAAAGAAGCAACTATTGTGCAGTCTGGAGGAGGGTTTTCCTGGGTTTGACAAGCCCTCGGCAACTTGTTTGCACTTCGAAAACAACTACGGCCCTGTTTGAGATGGTGAAGACTTGTTTGAAATCTAAAAATGTCTGGGACTTCAGATCCATTGTCCGGCAGAACAGTAAGTGTCCTGTAGATGCGATTCTTCCGTAGCCTCTTGGGAAAGCATCCGCCAGCTCCCGATTTTGTTTACAGTGGTATTGTATCACTGCCACTCATCATTTTCACATCAAAAGCGGGCAGCGGTAAGCATTGTGCATTCAGCAACATTTTCAAGATTCGAGAAAGACTGACAGAACTTACAATGGTACTATTTTAAGCCTGAGAAGGAAACTGAATTGAATGCATCCTATCCTGCATTGCTGGTTCCCATGGATTACAATCACGTCCTCTGTTTCCCCTCATACCACTGCTAACACTGACCTTCTTGCACTCGAGGGTCTCTGACCTTGATAGAGATGACCTGGGCTGGTCATGTCTGACAGGGTTCTGCATTCAGCCAAGAGACAAGAGCGCTGTACCTGTTTAAGTCCCTGTCGTCAAGAAAATGTTGTTTAACTTTTAGCTGCTTTGCAGCCAATCTGCAGTAAATGTGTTAAAATAAAATAGATCTTATTCTATTAACCGCACTGTACGTATTATTAACAGTTAGATCACTGCTTGAAGGTGGTATGGACAAGCAATGTTTCATGAGGGGCAATCTACTTGAAAAATAAAATAAAATGCCATCTTTTCACTGTCTTGGACAACAAAATGTGAAAAAAAATTGTTGTTTTTTCTTTCTTTGGCAACAATTTAGTGCTTTTAACTTTTTTTTATTAATTTAGGAAACTGTCGCCGCAGATTAGATAAAATAAATGGATGTACTATAGCAATGAAAAAAAATGAATCAGTATTTTTCATAAAGAAACTTTACTATGCATTTCCTCTTATTTACACTAAAAGAAACATGGCCATGCCTCGATGTATCCAATGTTTTATTTCTCCATAGTAAAACATGATTTAATCCGCCTCAAATTAAATGTCAGCTTTGCAGAGTTGTCATTGTCAATACAAGCTGTGTCCTCCTCTTGCAGAAATGACAGTAATGCACAAACAGCTCATTGACCTAATCTGCTCCTGGCAAGTTGTTTTTCAAATGTTAGAAACCACCATTTAGGCTCTGCTTGTCTCTCCTAAACAAAAACCTCACAATTAGCTATGTCCTGGAAATGTAAGACAGGATTTCTATCTTCATTCAGAGGAAAGCACGTGGGCTCAGTGTTAGTCAGTCCCTGAAGTCAAGTATTCAAGTCTCTTCTAGAACTACAGTCTCTGCACAGCTCAAAGCCTGGGTGGTTTCTGTTCCTCGGAACAGAACTTGCACTAATCCTACAATACCCAGACATTGCTTCAGCTGTTTGATTAACACCTTGGAACTGCCTGCAAAGGTGCGCTTCATCCTAATGAACAGGTCCAAGGCAGGGCAGGTGTGAGAAAAGAGTGACGAGCCTGCCTGCGGGAGTGACTGTGATTTTAAATCAGCAGGAAGCACTTCTTTACTCAAAGGATCATGGGAGTGAGGAACAAGCTGCCCATCCATGTTCTCAGGGCTGATTTCCTAGTTTCTTTCAAGAAATGGCTGGATGACATCCTTGGATCAGTTAACTACTGCATAAACTACCAACTACTGCACCTCTTGTTTGCAGTCTTTCTTCTGTTCAGATTGGATTTGACTCCTCTCAGCAACGTAAGCTGTGTGTTTACAGTGACATTAGATTTGATGATGGCATTTGAAGTTCTCCTTTTTGCGTCTAATCAAAGACCCAAAGATGGAAGCAACCTCACCTCACCCAGGAAATACACAATTGCAAGTGCTGCACATTAAGCCTGAGCAAGTGATTCAGAACCTCTAAACGATGGCCTACTGTACGAATTCAGGTGCTTTGCAGCTCATTTATGCACACGACAAGTCATAGTTTGTTAAAAGCATGTATGGCCACCTGTACAGTTTATTTGGCTCTCTCTCTCCTGCCAGCAAACTCAAACTAGTTTTCAGCAAATCCACATACTGCAATAATACTGAGAGGCATCTTGCAGCTGCGGGAGTCTTTTTTTTTTTCCTGACGTAACACGAGTCTGTGTTTCCACCACCTGACATTTTCTTCCCTGCGCCTTTGAATAAACCCACTTACCCCCCTCCTTCTCCCAGCATAGCCCTCTCTAACACAGACCATTACTCCGTCTGAAGCTGAGTGTGTTCTGTCCTGCAAATTTCTCAAAATGCAGTAATTAGCTGGTAGTTTAGGTTGCATATTTTCTACTGATTACCACAAATTAAGTACTATTTTGAATATGGCCTGCCCATTACTGCATGTGGTTTCTATTTGAGGAGGCTGGCATTTTGTGAAGTAAGCAAGTAATTATCTTTGTGCTGGTGAGGGTCTGAATTAAGCCAGGGCGGTGTACTGTAATGGAAGACAGTTACCAGCAATAGCCAAAGTCAGGCCATGCCGTGTGTGTGGCCTTGTCAGGCAGAAACATCTATCACTTTCAGGTGATAGAATACAGAAAGCTCACGTTTAACAAATGATATCTGTATTCCTGGGGTATTGATTTGATTAATGGGTTTATTACACATAATGATTCCATGATTTCTCATCCAGGCCTTGTATTATTTAAACATGTTTTTCCTACAAGGTGTCTTTCTTTTTCTGTTTATTTTTTTTTCAGAATGTAAAACACCCGTTCAAATCTACAAACTGCTCAACTCTTACAAAATAACTCTCCTGTTTCACATAGCAGAATCTCTCCAAGCCAAAAAGCAATAGCATTTATGCACAACAAAATTCTTTTTGAACGATTGAGCCTCCTTAAATATGGAAATAATGCTGATTTTCAAAAGGCATTTCTTTGTATGTGTAACTGCTAAACCTCCTACATCAAAGATTTGAAGAAATCTACTCGCTTTAAACCTGTAATACAAAGACTGCACTTGAAAAGCACATTACATAAATTACTGTCAAATCCTCTGAAAATCCCATTACTAATAGACAAATAATTTTGATTTAATTTGAATCACATCAAAACTGCAAAATACTGTAATATAATTGTACTTAAATGATTTTATTAGTAAATGAAAGCATTTGGATTTCATTATTATATTTAAAAATACACAAACTCCTCAAACAAAAGCAGTCTAAATTCTACAAAACCCTCTATACAATTAGTCACAAATACTTCATGCTTCAAACAGTCAAACAAATACAGCATGCACTAAACATAAGCTTTAATTTAATCACAAATCACTTACTATTGTAAAATATTCGAGCATATCAAAATGAGTAGCATTACTATTTTGCAACAGCTTGCCAGAGGAATTTAACTCTATCAAGTTTGCATCAACGACAGGGCATTTCTTACTAAGAAAGGACTAATAAAAAGTAAAGAGACTTACATATGAAGGGTCTTAGAGACTTACATATGAAGGGTTTGACACTACTGTGGATATGCTTGTGCTGCTTCAGCCCAGAAGACGTGGCAAATGTCTTCCCGCAGTCCGGGCAAGCATGTGCTCGAGCCCCTACGTGCTGAGAGCGAATGTGTCTCTGCAGGTTACTGGGGTCTGTGAACACCTGCTGAGAAAGAAGGAGTCGCGTAAAGAAGAGGGTTTCCTTTGGTGGCAAGACGAAGAAGCAGAAGCAGCCTCTGCCACAAGACAAAAACTGCTCTGGTAACTGCTGGCTCAGGCTGAGAGATTCACTTTCCGGTGGCTGTTTGTTGTTCACAGGTAATCGATTTGATTTTTGAAGTGTGCCTTGACTTGGCTCACTTTTGTCTTTCCTCTGAATTTTTCTGGCATTCACACCATGATAAGATGTGACCTCAGTTATGTTTTGAGGAACAACGTTTGGCTATATTTCATGAAAGATGGATGTAACTGTGAGGGTGGTTTGTATCTGCTCAGTATTGTGTGTAAGACTGTCTCTTCTAAATGGGGCTGGCAATGTGGTGAACAACAGGGCATCTGTGTATTTTTTCAGCTCTGTGCATGTTTTGGTATCTTAATTCTGAAACAGGCTTCACCTCTTCTGATGTCTGTATCATTGTCCAGGACAGTCTGTTATTTACTGTAGAAGCCTCAAGGAAAACGCAGCTTCTTCATTTCCAGTTTGCAAAGGAATAGCCCCAGCGTTGTTCATACTGAAGTTCACAATGAGAAGCAAACTCACACAGCCTCTCTATTTGGTGTTGATCCAGTACCCAACAGCACTTTTTGTAAGCAAATTTTGAGCGAGAAGACTATAGTAAAGTTAAATACTAGGCCCTTATAGTAATTTCTACACTGTACCGTTTTCTACAAAAACATCAAACTGAGATGAGTGAGATAATCTTGCCAAACTGTGCTCACTGTTACATACAGGAAGGCTGAAACCCTGCAGCGAATATAAAAATAATAAAGGAGAACTGGGAACATACACTGCAGGTGTTAGCTGAGATCACCACATGAAGACAGGGGAAGGATCTCAGTGTCACTTGGAAAAATGACAAAATGTTTATGGTGGTTTGGGGAACAGCTACCCTCAGAAAAGCACATTACAACATTCCACCCATTCAGCAAAACCCTTCACTGTACCTTTGAGCAGTTTTCACACTCATAGTGCTTCCCGCTGTCATGTGACATCTGATGGCGGATCAGATTGGACTTCCAGTTGAAAGCTTTGGGGCACTGGTCACACTTGTATTCACGTTCCTCGGAGTGGGTCAGAATGTGCCTCTCCAAACTGGTGAAGTTAGAAATATACACTCATGCATTAATTAACTACAAGTCCATTTTAAAAAGGAGCACTAACACGTCCCTGTTTAATGTGTTTTCTTTTGGCGTTTCTAACTTTACTTAAGTACGTTTCAGCAGAGATTTTCAGATTTCAGTGTTGTTCACTTCAAGTTCACGACCGGAATGTTGTAAAATGTATATTATTACATGATATTAACTTCCCAGGAAAAAAAAAATGACAATGCAATGAAAAACAGAAAAAGTCAATTCAGTTAATCAATTAAAAAAAAAATCAATGCGAGCACGTAAATTCCCAGAAACAAGTCAGGTGCATTTCTAATTTCTTTAATTCAAACTTTTCTCATAAAAAATGCAGTGCATGAAGGCAAGAGCCTTGCTAGAGTGTACTGAAGCTGGGCTGCAGCAGTGGCTGACACGGACAAGGGGTCAGCGTACTCAGCAGCCCAGCCATTTTACCCCAGCAGCCTAGCGCTGAAGCAAGTGGAGGCCCTGTCCCTCTCACCTCTGGGCATCTGGAAACACTTGGTCACACTCCTTGCACTCCTGGGGATTGTGTGGATGGTGGAGATCGTGCAGGTCGTGGAGGTCGCGCTCGCTGCCCGATTTGTGCTGGAGGCCCTCGTCCACCATGGAGAAGGCAGAGTGAGGCGTGCTGCAGGGGAACTTCTGGTGGTCCAAGAGCTCGGTTTTCGACTCGAAGTGCTGGTCACAGTCCTCGCACCGGTACTGCCGCTCCTCTGAACGGGACAGGGAGAAAACAATGGACCCCACGTTCAAGGACGTGTCCCCAGAGATGCCTCAGACAGCGGCAAGGTGCAAGAAAAACCAATTCACAGCAAACTATAGATATAGGAACAAGTAATAGGTTTATTCCATGCTGAAAAGAGAAGAGAGAAAAAATGACGTTTCGGCTGTGAAGCCTTCTTCAGGTGTGTGGCTTCTTCACACACACCTAAAGAAGGCTTCACTGACGAAACGTTGTGTTTTCTCTCTTCTCTTTTCAGCATGGAATAAACCTTTAACTTGCTCCTTTGGAGCATACGCATGCTGACGCAGCTACCCACCTGAACTATAGATGTCACTGTGTTTTTCAATTGCTAGTTTTACACTTGTCGTGTATACTTTACAAAGTGCCTAGAAATTACTGTGAGCTGGGGTAAATAAGTAAGATTATTTACAGTCAGCACTAACAAGACACAAATGAACATTTATCAAACATAAGTGTTTTCCTCTTAGTTTCGTATATATCTTTGTAATTTTTGTATCTTTAAAGCATTACCACATGATCATGGACATGATCATTTCAGGACATGATGTATTTTCATCTCAAGGGCTGGAGTTCTCACCGTGTATATCTGGTGCCATTGTCTGACATGAATAATCCTCTGCCTTCATGAAAAGCAACAGCTCCTCTCCTGGTTCAACGTCTCTTGTAACTTTGTAAAATATCTGAAAGGAAACACACATTACAACAATCAAGGCCCTGAATTGGGGATACTTACTCCTAATTCTGGGAGCCACAATATTTTCAAGATTTTGTTCTATTTGTGTCTATTATCGCTCAACTCCCCATAAATGTTTAATTGATTGGTTTAACTCACCATTGTTTCAGATTTAAGACAGTTATAAAACCTCACAGGCTGTTGCTTTCCATCATAACTCAATGTCACTCATGTAAATGAACCAAAAATTAAAAATGCAACAGATGCCATTGTTTCTAAAAGGCATTTCTTGTGTGTTAAATACTTCTGATATATATTCATTGACAAGACACGCAGACTGTAATCTACAGACTCTTCAAGGTTCATATAATAGTTTACATATTATTCATTCTGCCATAAATATCATGATGTGAGGATACTTGTAAGTTGTAAAATGAATTGGGGCAAAAATATTAGGGGATCCTTTTATTTCAGAACTGGTTAGTGACATAATACAATTCAAAACACATTAAAATCTGTGTTTTGGGAATATATTAAACTCATTACATGGGTACTACACATAATATCCAGCGTGATTGTTACACAGAAACAAATGTAAACCAAAAGTGCAATGCTCATTTCATACCAGCAGATGGCTCTTAAAAACCCGGAAACTGAATTGGTTCATTTTAGTAATGGATCAGAGACTTCCATTCTCAAGGCATATGACAGAAAACCTTTAGGTTTTTCTTTCTGAGGTTTGGAAAAGAGAAATACTCTGTCCAGACCACTGACATGATGATCAGTTCTGAGGTAGTCCAGTCATTTCTGCAGTAAAGCGAGGTGCAAAGTTGGTTTGAGTGTGACACTTGACAGCCGTCAAATTCCAGGTTTCTGTCCTCATCTGGTCCCAGGGAGCTATGTCAGCTCTGGCTCCATTAGTCACTGAAGCTGACGACGTCAAGGTATGACAGCTAAACACTGAAAGTTCTTTATGACATCCTCCCTTCTTGATAGCCTACTGAATGCAAACGATGCAGAACTAGACAATGGAGGTGTAGATTCTCAGTAAAATGAAAAGCTTACACACTTTTAATTCCTATTCAGGATATCTGTGATTCAACTGCTAGAAAGACACAACATGTGAATGTTTTTATTGTCGGTGCCATAGATCAAGTATGACTATTATAATGTATACAAGAAATAAAATGTGTAATTTCTTAATATACTAGGTGGAGAGACTGAAGATAAAACTAAGTATTCATTTACTATTTTGTCAAGCTTGTCATTTTTAACAGCCATGAAAAGATGGAACTCTCGCCAAGTGAGCACAGCATTTGTCAATAGAAGAAAATGTTACTGCCGCACATTAGGGCTAATGAGAACTAATAAAAAAATCCTCCCATACACTGTGGTTTTCAAAACTGAAAAAGCAAAATGTAGTAACATAACTACAAACAGACCCCAGAGAAAAATGAACTGCAACATCTCGGTAACATTAAGAAAAGTAGTAAAATGTGTGTAAAAGATGTTGCCTCAGCATGGAGAGATGATAGATTCATACCGTCTCACGGGGAATGTTAAACCTGGCTTCTTGGAGCTTAGAGGCTCCATATAAACCAGTCTTATAAAGTAGCGGATGTGCTTCATAGCTTTAAAACGTGCTATTTATTATGGCGTGCAGAAGCAAATTTACTTTTTAATCGAAATTTGTCTCAGTGTTACATTATCTTAAAATGCTACAAAAGGACTCGTTGCAAGCACCATAAAGAGTGAAATACTTGCCCTTCACAATTCAGGAAAAACGTCTAATAACGAAACAAGGGAACATGTGCTCCCTAGGTGCAGAAAGATGCTACTGTACCAGATATTTGATTTAGGAAAGAGGCCGTTTGCCTATTTCATTTAATCTGGCATACAAGAGCATTACATACAGTACGCAAAAGGCTCTCACAACTTGAACCTGAATGCTTTTCGAATTAGGAAGGAGAAATTTGTTGCTTGTTATGTTATGCAGTAGCTGGGAGACAGGCTTTAAGTGTAACAAAAGTGAGATTGCTAACCAGGCACTTTTATTTAACCTACAAACCTATATCAAACACTCATCCCAGTACATTTATAGATTATTATTGCAACTGAAAGCAGTATTTGTGTTTGTCAAGATAGAGAATTTAGAGGTGCTTTATAGCAATCAGCTATAAAACTATGCCCCCATCCCCTCCCTCCCTTCCCCCCATTAAGCAGCTAAAGACTATGCACTTCCATTGTGTCTCGATTTCCTTGCACCCTAGTAGCACACCAAAACTTCTCCTGCTTCCCCAAGGTCTTTCAAGGCTAATACTTCACATGGGTAGCTGGTAAGGTACTGGGGTCTTTGTATTTCCCCTGCACACAATGGAGTTCTCCAAACAATTTAAAGCACATTAGTTTTGGCACCGCTTGAAGGTTTAACTTATTAGCTTCCTTTCCAGCCGTTAGTTGACATTTGGATTGTGACATATTAGAATTCTACCGCAGCTTCTCGGAAACACAGAGGTTAAAGAGACATTCCCCTTGAAGATAGTTAAAATCAAACATTTTCAATACTTTGTCATGACATCATTTGTTCAGGAGAGAACAAAAAGCTCCGGTTATTACAGTCATGGGGATACATTTGTGCCCTATTGTTTTAAAGAAAAATGCAGGGAATTGAAATTCAACCATTTGCTGTATGAGAACCAAATATTGATTGGTTTCCTGTTAAATGTAGATATCTCATGCCATTCTTTGCACTCACATACACTTTCTCAAGTAATGCTGAGAGTTCATACAGTAAAAAAAAAGCATGAGGGGGCACATTTTTGTGTATTTCAAGAAACTCAGACCAGATCACGTCTGTTGTTTTTCTTATATTTCTTTAGTACCTAGAATATAGAGCTAAAGTAACTACAATGTTAAGGAGATGAGCTTGGATGTGTTATGTTTTAACTAATATTTTGCAGTTCAGAAAACAGTGTTGAGAAACAGTGCCTTTTTTGTGCTCTGTGGTAATTTACTCATAACAAGACCTCTTATGAATCAATCACTTTTTTCAGACGGTGCTAGCATTAACCATAAGCCTACATTCTCTCCCTGTTATAGGATTTAGTATGTAGTTGTTTTCTATCATGTCTTAGTAACACAATAGTTTCTCGCTTAATGAAAATGCTAAATGAAAACCAAGAAAAAGTTTATGAAAAAGATATACTGACAAAAGATGGTACAAGCCTTTATTTGATGTATTTTCTTATTTCATATAAATGCGATCATAAAAAATAGATGCCTCGTCATAGCACTCAAAGTGGTAACCCACCAACTGTAAAATTAAATAAATTGCTCACAATCTGTGGTTAAGAGCCTCCTCAGTTTTGTTAGGGATATCTTGACCACTGTTGGATGAAAAGACAACTGTCTGTACTGTCTGTAATGTATAATAACAATAATGTCTAGCGTAGTACTTGGTAAGAACAGACGTGTCGAGATACATATTGTGTATTTGTTACCACACCTGTAGGACTTTGCACAGACCCTGTGGTTCACTGCCTATAAGGTCTTGAAACAATAGGTGACAAAACATGCACATTTTGAGATGAATCTAAAGTAGCTGATTGTTCCTGGAACATTCACAGAAGCTCTAAAGACTCTACTGATAATACCAATTTCTCCTGTGATCATTTGTTACAACTACACCTTCTCCCTGAGGGAGAAATGCTTCATTTTCCATTCTGTGATCTCCAATCATGACAAAATCATCAGGAGATCTGCCAGATTATTTCACTTCAGGGTAGCACAAGTCTTCTCATTGAAAAAAATTTCCTTTCTAAAAAAGGCTATTTTATTTTGCTGAATAATTCGGGTTTTTATTAAATGTTTTCTCAATTCCACATTGACACAGCCTCCCTTTCCTAGGCACAGCTCAGTAAAGGGTCCCTACCAGAATTGCTTCCAAGGTTTGTAAATTTTGCAAAGTGGTTGTTCTTAGTTCATAGCACAGGCACTACAATCAAACACAATCTAAGCCTTTGGAAAGATGGGAAGTCACAGTTTGTGAGGTAGTTTCATGCTGCCTAAACAGATACAAAGGTGGTTTTCATTGCAGCACATCCTGTGTAAATGTCATTCTTTTTAAAAAGGGTTACTCACAAGAAATGAACAATTATCCTCCCTGTTAATTTGAGCAGGCCTCTGGCTGAAACTCTTAACATTACAAAATACCCAGCCTCACACTGGATTAAGATGTTTTCATTACATAGCCACTCTGACACTACAAAATTATCCTTGAACGTTTCAGTAAAAATTCTTATGGTATATCTTCCACAACTTGATTTTATTATGAGTGCAACTGAGTGTCTAATGCATGAAAGGAAAGAATAACAATTTCAAAAAATACAACTGGAGGACTCGCCAGTTTGTCTGTCGCTGAATTTGAACTCTGCATGTCTCACTCACGCCAGTTTCTCCTCTTCCCTTGCCACGCCGAATGGTGGCTGGCGGAAAGCAGCTCAGCCTAGACCCCTGTCCCTCAGTCCCTTTCAAAAAGGTGCGAGATCTAAACAAGCAGGCTCCTTTGTGATGAGGTCTGTATTATAATGTGCCAGCACTGTTTCTGTATTTTAAGTCTCAATCAACTACTCCACTTCAACACAAACATCAGATAACGATCAAATACTTTCAAGTCTTATCTGGAGCATTTCACCTACAGCTGTTTAAGGACCTGATCCTTCTCCCCCCACCTCCATCCCCGCCTGCCACACACTCTACAATCTAAACATTTCTCTTTTTTTTTTTCCTTTTCCGGGCAATCAACCGCACCCCTTTCAGGTGAGGAGCCTTGTTTGTTTTAGAATTAGACAGGTGAGGTCATGGAATTAGTGGGAACACCTCAGTGACCAAGTGCCTCTCTCCATTTCCTGTACTGTACCTTGGACACTAAGCTCATCGGATGTCGAAAAGGTCCTGCTCCCACGTGGGCAGGAAATCGCCAGCGCTTAAAATGCAAAGTCACAGGACTGAAATGCCTCTGGAGTGGGTTCTCTTTAGTTTCTAAAGCTGTACACTGTTCCACAATTCCAGTCTTCTCTTCTTCCGCAATTACACCCTCCTTTGCTTAGGCAGCAAAAGGTTTCATTCATAATAACGAATAAGAACAAGACGGTTTTTCAGAAAATTAGACCCCCCCCCAGCAGTTTGTGCAAAACTGTTATTGACTGTGCATTAACTGGCTTTTCTGAGTTTCTAATTGCATTACTCCTAGACACTCACACAAACACTGATGTTAAGCAAACGTGTCAATACAGACTGAGCTTTTCAACGATCTTTTCTTTTATTCTCAGATTTTGTTTACATTCGGCATGGCAAGCAGGTACTGTATCGACTCCAACCCCTCTGCCATAAGCGAGACAGAAAGAAAAGAGTTTGTACCATAAAAAGAAAGGAGGGTTCCCTATTTCAGAGGAGTGGACAATAAAAAAATGAATCATGAGTCACGATCTGAATCATGAGTCATGAGCCAACGTGTTCAACATCAGTGTTTCACTTCATCCACCATGCTCTCTAGCTCAGATAGTAGTCATCTTAAAGTTGATTTTTATGCATTTCATTTTTACTGTTACAGTAAATGTATTGACACCTCCCAGAACCTCTGATAAATATTTGAAAGCATATCTAGTGGTGTTCATATCAACATTAATCCACAAACATGATCTTCGTGAATAAAAATATAAAGCACTTAAACTTAATAGATGTAATTGGTGGTTAAAACACGGTTTGCAAAAAGAAAGAGCACACAGAGATAAAATAACTGTGTACAGCATTTGTTAGTCTTCAAAGAATTTGACTCCATGCTAAAACAGATTTTTCCCTTAAGCCTGTAAATTCAAAAACATGAATTTACCAAAACCAATAGAATCCTATGATTATCCAATATTCAAAGTAGGGATATCTGTCAGTTTTCTCATTTTTATTTTATATGGTGCCTTTCCACGAGGAACACCACCTCAAAGTGCCTTCTGAAGGAGATGTTCCCTGACAGCAACAGGGAAATTTCTAGTTACCCCATTAAAAGCCAATATCCTCTCTGAAATGTGATGTCTTATTCAGTTACTCCCTTAAAATACATATTTCAAAAACAAGAAAACATATTAAATTGAGGCAATTTGACATACACTGTAATAATACCTAGTGCCAAGCAGCAATTTAGTTAGTTGTTTAATTTACCTGTATGTACAACAGTTCACATAAAACATACAAAGCTGAAAACTACAGTATAAGGTCCCCCTGCCCATTCTAAATTAGCAGTTCATTCCCTCATTCAATGAGTCAAAAGAGTGCATCAAATTTAAAACAATTCTAAAGGAAAAAAACTTACTATTAGAATGTATATTATGAAAAAGTCCAACTGAAAAGGCTAATCAATATATGCTTATTTATAAAACATGCAAACTGTCAAAAGTGCCCCCCTAAAAGCAAGAGCTGACTGACAGCTTTCAGTTCAACAAATACTAATTTTATTAATGTGCCTACATGATACTGCTTCGAAAAACAATTCACTGGAGATGAAAAGAGCCCTGTCATAACCCCTCAGGTAAATCAAAATGTATAATACCAGCAAATGAACTCTGCAGTGCTGTCAAGAGGAATGTCTACCCTAGAGGCCTGGTGCAGGCCTTCATGGTACAAATGTGAAATAATTACAAAAGAAAAGCAAATATGAAAATATGCACACATTCAACACAAGAGAAAAAGAGAATGTCCATATCGACACCAACATCTGAACAATGCCTTTTAACACAACACCAAACAGGGCATAAGGGTCTACTGTATCCTGCTATCAAGCTCTTCAGGCTTCAGCGGGATCTTAAAGCTTGAAAGAACGTCGTGCAAGTGTTCAAAACATACCTGATCATTTATCTGGCATGCAACAAGATTGTGCAGATCACAGAGCTGGGCAAACTGAATGTATTTCAGCCAGCTCCCTATATCTGGCTCACTGGCATCCACGCAGAACTTCACATTGCCAAACTCATCCAGGATCTGGAACAAAAAGAAAATTACTGATTAAAATCAGCACAAGTTTCAATGCAGTAAAACCGAAAGATAAATTATATACCACCCACTAAGGTTCTGTGATACAGTGTGGTACAGTACTGTATGTCGGTGGGCTAAGACACACACAGAGACACACAGATACACACACACACTGACACTGTTAGATCTACAGTTATCTTGTCTAAAAAGCATGTGACGGTCTTTCTTTTTTATAAGATTTTAAATGATTAAAAAATAACTGTATTAATGATTACTTTAATTATCATTTCTTTGACAGGGCTCATAGTCGGTGTCCTGCAAGCAGAAATCCTAAAAATGAATAACGTCTGGTAAAGTTTCTGACTAAAATAAAGTGCTCTAGTGAATAAAAAGTTACACAAAAAATACCAGCATATTAATTGACAAAAACATCGTCAATTTAAAGAACTATCATTCCATTAAATGTATTTAAAATATTAATGTTCTAGCGTATAACATGCGCAATATATTTAAAACCTCGACATTTCTAATACTTGGAAAACAACACAACTTTGAAAATCGTTTCTTTCTCTCATTGCAAAAATTATTTAAAAATAGATTTAAATACTGAAAACACGTTGAACTGCATTCACATCGGTTTTATTATTACCCAGTGACCTTTCCTCCCTAAGACGTTGATAACCACAAGGCAAGGAAGACGTGAAATATGTTTTTCACAATTAGGGATTTTTACACCTCAGTGATTTCACGACAGAGCTAGCGCTTATCTTTAAAAGCACTTCAATAAAAAGTTAAAAAAATGCTTTCACTACGAATGAATATAGACGAAAAGTGCCGTATCTGTAATACTGAAGAGGTTAAAAGTCTAGTCAGTGTTTACCTAACCCTAAAGCGTTTCTATAACATGCAAATCAAGTTCTGTTCAAGGAGCGGTTTTAGGCCATTAATTCACAACAAACAACCTCCTCCAACTACTGTTTTTTAAGAGGACATAACCCAGAAGGGACAGTTACTTAATTTCTAACCGTGCAAAATATATGCCTACCAAAAACAGAAGACGCAATAGGTTGCCCTTAAAACAATTTCATTTTATTTTGAGGAATATTGAAGAGTTAGCTATTTAGCGAGAAAATTAAATTTGTAGAGTTTCCAAAAAAAAATATTTCAGACATGACTTTGATTAATGAAAAATAACTTTTTTTTAACTTTTGTACATAACAACAACTTGGCAATGCACTGTTTTATTTCCAGAAATAGGTCCAAATACGTACATTTGTAAACCCATAAAAATATAAAACATAAATTAAGTTAAAGAATAAATGTAACAAAAAAAGTACAACTAATATAAAACTTAAAAGATGATGTGAAAGAAAAACAACTAATCAGTGTAACTATTAAATTTTGCTGTTTTGTAATTTGCTTCGTTTGGACTAAAACAATTTATTTCAAAGGAAAAACAATCTGCAACATTAAAATAATATCTTAAACCCTAAAAACGCGAGCAATTTAGTTGTATAGATTGCAACTTATAAGGGTTTCCATTGCTGTAATGTTTTTAATACCAAAATTAAATACCTCCCTTGCTATAGCGTAGTGAGTTGCTCAGAAACGTTTTTATTTCAACTGTAATACAACCGTAAAGACTGAAAAAATGAAGTGGAGGATGGTCTTTGATCATAACCGATGAGAAAGACGATCGGTATTGGAACCGAATATAATTTCCAAATTCTTACTAAAAAAATCTAAAGTTGACGTTCTGGCTTTATTTAATTTAGCTTCAGCGTATTCGCATTATGTAATAAAATGTTTTATTATTTATTATGAAATAACATAAGATGCATACTAACCTAAATGTGTGTAGTTACGCTAGATAAAAACTATACTGACAGCATCGAGCTAATAAAATAGGCATGTCTTACCTTAAGGAACGTGTCGCCCGTTATAGCTCGCAAAACTCTATAGCTTAAAGAAGATAAAAAGCTCCCAAGAAAGGCTCCAAAGGGAAACGGAAAAAAAATGATCTCAGTGCATTCTCAAATGAAGGTTTTAAGAGTAAATGTTTCGGTAGGTCAGTGTCCGTGCCTGAGCGTCTTTGACTCTTGAAAACTTCCCGTTGTTAATGAAATCGTCTCAAGAACACAGCTTCGTTTCAGTTTAAACAGAAGTACAATACTTAATTTCCCCCCGGTTACCTTTCTTTCTCCTCTCACATTGTCTTTCTTTTCAAACTAGATGCCTGGAAAAGTATTAACCTCTAACCGCATTAACTTCTTCAAACTTCATCCGACAGAAGCGCAGCTCGTTCATCAGGAAAACCTCTTCAGGTGTACGGGACGAAGGAGGACTTCAGTTTCCCCCTTTTTTCCACTCTCAGGAACTTCTGATAGTGAAACGGCCAGATCGCCCACCTTTTTCCCCCCAGTCCCAACAGTGTGATCTGTGTGTCTCTATTTCACGGACTGTCTCTTTAAAGAGGATCTGCTCGCCCATCCATACAGAGAAAGGCAGTCAGGGCTATCTGCTGTCCGCGATCGGAAGTCGGACGACGCTCCCCTCAGTAAATTTTTAAAGTGACAGCAGCCTTGCTCGGATAGGAGAGGTCAGCGAAAGGTCGGGACGGGGTCCTATTGGACTGGGAACAAATGCACCAGCCCCAAAACGTTGTTTTCCTCTGATTTTGTTAAAACCATCGAATAGATGGTTAGATCATGATCATGAACACCACTTTATTTTTTTTGGGGGGGAGGGTTAATGTCTCAACTCATAAAGACTCACAGAGGAAAGTGTTACAATTAACAATGGAAATGTTATGTCTTTGTCTCAGGAAGGAACTTTTCCCCCGTTAATGTTTCAGTTGCAAAATTTATTTGGACAAGGTTCTTTTTCTTTTTCCTCAAGCCCTTATACCGTTCATTTTTGGAGTTCCTACTCCTGTTTTGTAATGATTCTAATCCCCATCTTCCTTGAGGGACCTGCACATAGTACACCTGCTACACATGACAAATCACACCTGACTGCGAAGGAAACCTATACGACTTTAAACAGAATGTTCCTCAAGACTAACTCCAGACTGAAATGTAGTTTTCACCTTGACAGCTATTGTTTTAAAAATAATCAGTCTTACAGTACACGACGGCGTCCGAATTTTATGCTGCTTTTGTTTCTTCGTTATTTAACTTGATTTACACTCACGGCACGGCCACAGAATCCGCCTTATATTTAAACACCATTAATAGAGGAAAAAAAGTTTTCCAACACCAGTTCCCTGAAGACAACCCCCCCCCCCAAAAAAAAAACCTTTTGCAACAGAACGAGTAAATATGCATTTTTTTCCAAGCAACAGGCGAATGCAAAACATTCGGAACTGAAATAAAGTGCCTTACAATAGGATCATGAATTGCTCATCTTTCTAATCGTCTAACAGAACAACAATGACAGGTTTGCTAATGCCTAGGGAATTATATATCTCCGTAAAATGTAATCTGAATATTTTTTCAGATAAATTAGAACATTTAACAGTAAATGTTCCAAAACTGCACTCTGGAAACGGTAAAACTACTACTGTGAGTTTATGTCCTAAAATTACACATACATAAAACTATCTCCGCTCTCCATGTCCAGTTTATAAAAAGAGAGAGTTCATTTCTCACACTATTTTTTTCTGTTTTTTGCGGGGGTGTGGTGGGGATACGGGGAGAGGGTTTTAATGCGACAAGATGATGATTAATTTGCCTCCGTGGCCTGCTATCTGTGACATTGAACTTCTATTTCAGATAATGTCTATTGTTTTAGAAAACCGCACAGCGAATGTGGGTAGGACAGGAAAAATCATTTGTAAATAACACCAAACCTCGCCAGAGATTCTCATACACTTTGGTGCTTGTGAACCTAAAGGAGCCCCCGGTTTTCTGGGCATTGATTTCCTGCCCTTCCTAGACTTGTCCATTGTTGGAACCCTTTTTAATTTAGCCATAAATTGGGAAAGCTAGAGCTATGAGCTGTTCTATTTTCTTCCTGTCAGGATGAGGGATTTGTTTTATGATGCATTGTGTATTAAATACAAGTAATCTGGGAAAGTGATTGCTCGAGCCACGCAGGTCTGATCGAGGCTTCTGATAGGGATCGTTCCCTTAAACTAAGACCTTTGAAAAGAAGGAAACAATGGCGGACAAACAAAAGGTTTTGGTATCAGTATCAGGACCGGGGTACGTTAGGGTTACAAGTGATGCGACTGAAAACCCGATGTCAGTTTAACGCTTCTGTAATTTTTCTCTCTCGCAGTAGATGGCGTTGTGAGCTGACTAAAACTTTTAGGAGCAGAGTTCTCAAAACTAGTTCAATTTCGCATATTACCTTTTGGATATTATTAAATAAAGTAATTAAGGCTGCTGAGGTGTTTTTTAATCGTAGTTCTTTACACTTTCCAATGTTTCTGTAGGATCATGATGATGCGCATTATGCTTTTTTACACAGGCAGAATACTTAACCCTCCTCGATTCTAGTGATGTCTTACGGTCTTGGTCAGAGACCAAGAAACACAGATCCTGATAAAATGTTAAGATTGTTTCAAACGCATATTGTGGAACATAATGCGAAGTATTCTTGGGCTAGCATTCTGAAATACGTATTAATGCAATTTAACCGACATCTAAATTGGTAAAATTAATATAAATTGGGAAAATGTATGTAAGAATTGGAGAGAAAGACCAAAGTACCGTATAGACACGCGGCAAGAATACGAAGTTTGAGAAAAGAACTGAAGCTGTCAATTACACTATCAGTGTTTGCAAAGCTTTTCATAAGCAATTTTTATTTGGCGTTTCAACTACCTTCATAAAACGGCCAAGGAGGCAAAGAAGAGAAAGACAATAAAATACAACATTAAAATATTGGTAACTAACGCGTAGATCGAGCCAGTTGTCCGTGGAAACCGAACAGCATTGCAATTCTGTATATGTAAGTGAACATCTACACACCTACACATTTTTGGAAGTATTTTTCTTATAACATCAGATTAACTTTACTAACTTAGGTGCAAGTCACCCTCCAACAGTCAGCCTTTCTCTTTTTAACTTGTGAAAAGGCGTTTAAAAATCGCCTACGCCGATCTTCTCTTTCATGTCAAAAGTTGTGGAGGACATGATTTAGTATCTACAGCATGCTTTGGAGATGATAATCACAAAATTTAGGCACACATTTCAGTCAAAACCGAAGTCTCAAATAACTAAAAAAAATCAGTGTCATGTATAGTATACCTTTCCGTACCATGTTCAGACGTCCTGTTTAGTACAGATAGTAACAGCAGGTTGATTTCTCAATATAACTGGATTTTTTAAACAAATGCAGCATTCATACATATTGATAAGAAAAAGTTAGATGTTTCCAAATAGACCTTTATTTTTTATTTCACTATCATACAATTAAAAACAAACTTGGTGTGTTTATTTTTACAGTAAATGTCTGGTCTTTAATTTGGACATTTGTTGCCAGAAATAAAAAAAAGTTAGCTGTTTATTTGCCTGAGTATTGTACGAGTAATGTAACTCTTTCTCTGTTAGTCTGTAATGTTTATGTATTACATATATTATTGTCAAAACTGAATTCCATATTGCTGGTGCATACTAAAAAGTACCATCTGCTCAGAATTTGAAAATCTGACAGGGTTTGGTACTGTATAATTAATGTATTGGAGAGTTTATAATTCCCTATTTAGTGACTTAATTGTATTTTCAGAGAGCATTTGTCTGAAATTTGCAAAGTTTAAACTGCCAGCACAAGCTTTGTTTATTTACAGTACGTCTATATATTAGTCAATGCATTAAGGAATTAGAGCACTCCTAACTTAGATACTCCCAGCTGGGTGAAAACTGATGCCTTTTTAAGACTCCAGCTTCACAGTCGTCCCTGAAGCTGAGCACTGTACATTTTCAGAGGTTTACTAATGGAAACCCTATGTGTAAGGTGCATTCCAGCACATCCTTCAAAACATATCACAGCCAAATCCACATGAAATACTTTTAGCATCAATTGAAATAGACCTCCTACAGACCCAAATGAAAGGTTGAAATACCCTTTAACAAACACATCACCACTGCAGTGAATAAGGTACCACTGCATTTAAGTATCCTATTTACATCTAAATCCCAGTGTGTTTTAACTGGAAATACATTATTCATCACATTAAATGCTTAAATTATTAATGCTATATTTATACATTCTGTATTTACTGTTACTCTAAGCGTTAAAAGTGCTATATCATATTTTTCTTTACAGAATTCAAAAATATTTATCCAGTAATACATGCCCATGACTCAACAGCACAATTTTCTTTTGCAGAAAACGTCTCAATCATATGATACTTTTTGCTCTTTTAAATAGACATTTATTCCAAGATTTTCATTTTTCATTTGTCAACAAGAGAGAAATTCCCACAGGAGAGCTAAATCTATGCTATTCCACTCTAATAATTGACACTTCCTCCAATTGTTGTTTGATTTGTAATAATGACAATTATGTTTCTCTTTTTAGTGAGAAAAAGGTGACTGAAGTTTAACGTAAATGACTTCTATGAATCCCTTTCATTGTGGTGATTATGTCAGGCTGCTCCTTTCCAGTGTCTGTCCCCACACTGTAGGAGACATACACACATAAACTGTAAGTCAGTCAGTGTGCCTGATTCTGATACTCAATGATTGCATTCTGATTTTTCATGATTTTCACAAATGATGGAGTTAAAATGAGACTTCTGGAAAAAAATCCATAGTCAAATCTGAACAACAAAAACATCATTCCAGAAATTTCTGGCAGAGATTTTTTGTTATATACCGCTCTTGTAATTCCTTCTTGAAAGGATCACACTTCTTAAAAGGGGAGGTATGTGAAGCATTCGGAGCACCTGCATTATTACTTGTCACTGCTTACAAGCAAAAGGCAACTTGCAGCTCACACAGGACTGGCGCTGATCGCATCTGAGACAGCCGGGATGCCCTGGAGGTTTTAGAAGGAGTGCAGGGTAAGAGCATGTGAAGTCAAATTGCAGGGGTACACGTAACCCCCATTTCCAAAATCTCTAACTTAGGGGGAGCTTTCTGTTGGCCAATTACCATTAAAAGAGAGGGGAGGAAATGAAAGGGGAAAAATGTAAATAAAAAATTTCCTTGGTCTGGAAACAGGCCCAAGTTAAAGCGTGTTAATCTCCACCTCAGTAATTTGGTTCTCCAGCAGAAGACAGAAGCCCCGCTGCTGTGCCCTGCACTTCATAAATCACATCTTTATGTGGACAAGGTCAGGGCAACTAACAGCTCAGACATGGGCCTTTCCAGTGGTTCTGCGCACTAAGGCATGTTTATTCTCCCGCACAGATCTCTGAGGAGTAGTCCAGCACACTTCTAATTACTTTTGATTATTTTCATTTGCTCGGGTCAGCCAGGCATTCCGGGAGAGGGCTGATTTCCTACAAATTCTGTTGCCTTTGAGGAGAGGCCCTGTATGTTTTCAGAATTAGCACCCTATTATTTTATCTCCTGCTCTGTCTTGCTCTTTTTTTCCCCCCTTGACAGACCTTATAAGGCCACGAAAGGCTCTTATAACACACTCAGGTTTTACGTCGCCTTCATTGAAAAGTTAAAACAATGAGAACTGTGGACTTCTCTTTGAAACGAAGGCTGTTT